TGATTTGGCACCCCATAAAGCTTTTACATATTAAGGGATATGTGGTACCTTTATCACAAAAAGAACTTTAGAGCAGAGCTTTTCTTCGATTGCTTCCTGAGGGGCTATGAGGCTTTCAAACGAGGTATATTATAAGGTAAACCATGAGTGTGATGTCTAATGTTTTTAACCCCTATTTGAAAAAAAAACTAACTCAGCACAGATTCAAGGTTTTTTGAAGGATGGTAATTTTCTTATTCCTACTTTAGTATATAAAATTTTTGATGGAATATGTCATCATTATGTTTGTAAGTGTAGTCAACAATCTACTGAATCTACTCCAACAGCGACATCGTCAAGAAGACAGTTTGTACTCTGTAGATAGGTAACTACTTATATGATTTTTTATCAAATTAAATAAAGTTGGGAGTTTATCAAGAATTTACATGTTATTAAAATCTGAACCAATCTGATGTATGCAAATGTGAAAATAGTCATAAAACATTTATGATAGTGCTTATCTGGGATCACAGAGTGGTATTGTTTAAATGATGAACATTATATCTGTACACAAACATGGACAGTAATTTACACGCACACACCAGCAGCCTTCACTGTTACAATACTGCAGCATTAGCTCACATTCTTTATTTTATTATTTCAACAAATCCGTTCTAATTCTGATCAAAATTATTGTATTGTTGTCTTTAATAAAAAATAACACTAAAGTGACAATGGAAAATGATTAAGCTGGAATTCTTATTGTGTGGAATTGTTATTTACATTGTAAGCCCTTCTTACAATATAAATATTTCCTATTATTGAAAACTAGACCATAAGAAATTATTATAATGGCGATTCTGAAGCAATGCTGCCAACTCATTGACAGGTACCTATATGGCTAACAGTTTAGCTATGTGAAACATGGCTCTCAAATTCTCAATGTACACACAGCACACAGCTAACAAGAGTTTGTGCAGTACAAAAAGATCGAAATAATTGGTCGGCGGTCGGCGGTCGGCGTGTGGTCGAATACAAGGACGCAGCGACGGCGATAGACCTACGAGTAGGTACCGAGACCATTGCACAGCCTCTGCTAAACACGCGGCACTTAGCATTGCGCCCGTCTCCACTCTTACTCTTCTGTTTAACACCATTCACCATATCCAATAAAATTTAATTCTTCCCGTACAAATACTGAACAACTTTATTCAATTAGGTAGCCGGTTGGTCAGACGTCTGTCTTTCTAATAATTTCCGCATTACTGATACATTTAAGACACAAAAGAATGTGTTAGTGTAACAGCAAGTTATTGTAGCGTAACTATTATTTTTTATACGATATAATATGAAAGCAATTATTTAACCTCACTGTCGAAACAGACGACGCATGAGAAAAATCGATAAATTCACCAATAAACAAGGAGCTGCCAATCTATTCATGTTCTAATTGGACAACGATGAAACAAGAAGTTTCCAATAAGATTCTACTATAATTTCATAGCCTTTCATACAATTTCAAGTAAAGGATACTTATGTAAAATCATTTGAATTGCCGGCGTACTTACCCATTTTGTTGAACTCTTGTATGTTCCGCGGAGTCAATGTCGATTAGGCAAATGATTTAAGTAACATTATCACATTTGCACTTAATATGATACAAACACCGTTTATTTGCTTATATGTAAGTTAAAACTTATAAAATTGTTAATAAATAAAATTATAAAACTTTTCTGGGCTGGTCTCGAGATACGTTCCCACTGGTCTTGTCTAGGTGACGGTGTACCGTGTACTTGACAGAGACCAATGACGTTCAAGAATTCATAACGACCAAATGTTTGTAGATTCGTCATTCGTTCTGAAATACATGCAAGTAGGATTTTGTTTTTTTTAGTGTTTTTATTTTGCTTCAGCTGGAATGGTATACTTGGTACTCATGACTGGAAACCTTGGTAGAAACCAAATTATATGAGATAGGTACAGGCATTGTTATTATTTACGAAATAAAACTTGCTTTAACCCCTCATGATCTCAAGAAGTAGTAGTGTAGTAGCAGCACGGTGCGTCCAGACTATTTCCCTTTTTATAAAACGCGTGATTGACTTTAATTACTGCAGAAAAAGCTAGCTGGTAGGGAATGGGAGCCGAGGGTCGTTCCCCTATACTCTTTGGTCTGTCGGGTCAGTTTCAACACCGACATACCTATATAAGTGTTGAAACTGACAGACTTATATATATTCTAGTAGTAGCTTGTACACAAGTACACAGCAGAGTAGTAGTCAGGACCTACCTACCTACCAACAAAAAAAAAATATACTCGCAGCCGACGTACTACTACTGTTGTAATTTAATTTTTCTGTGGATGTAATACAATCAATAAATACTCCCCTCTCATAACGACCTACATTGCATCTTTGAACAATCTAGGCACATTTACTTAAGATTAGTATAGATAGTAGGAGTAGGTAAATTATATTCAGTGGCACAAGAAAAATATTAGCCATATTAGGACACAGGGCACTCTGCTGTAGCTGTAGTGTAGTAACGGTAAAATAGAATATGTTTGTCCATGGGCGGCGCTGAAAGCTTACCATCAGGTGATCCGTATGCACGTTTGCCTCCTATTCCATAAAAAGAAAAAAAATATTTATGTGTACACGTGGTATCGTTAAACTGTGATCGCCAACCTGCAACCTGCTAAACGTGGAAATTATGGCAAAGTCTTCTTTTGCAGAGAAGGCTGAAGGCCCATAGTCCAATAGTAAACTCCCTCGGGCTGAGGATGATGATAATGAGGATCAACCCGGTGCTCGGTTAGGTTCGACAGAAATAAAGAGCTATCATCATGCAGGTGCAACACATGGAAAAAAACCTGATCGTAGTTTGGTGTGGTAGTACCATTAATTATTCAACGGGACGAGTAACAAACGCCTTATAGGATGATACTACCAAGTACCAACCCTCGGCTATTTCATTAATAACTTCGTCTTGTTGTGGTGACTTGGACGCTACTATCGTGCAGCCTTATAAATGCGAAAGTTTGTATGTATGTATGTGTGTGTGTTTGCTACTGAAGGGATCGGGATGTGGAACAGGGGTAGATTACGGTCCGGAATAACATATTATAGGCTACTTTTATCGCACGGAGACGCCATCATCCAATGACTTTTCCCGCTCGGGTGAGGCGACAGGGAGTGTCACTCTTACTGACTAAAAACCACCCCGTTGCTTAACCCGTTAAGCCCTCCGCAGCTCCGTGTCGGCATCAGCCCTATTGGACCCATCTGTGCTGGTCTGATGGCTTCTTAAGGCACGCGCGGAACGCGACGCGCCGTACGTTCAGGCCTGGTTCTGGTCGGACGGCGAGTTACCGGTGCTTGCCGTCCGCAGGCCCGTGCTTCCGGAGATCATATCGCGATCCCCGACGCCCGGAGTGTCTCGCGCGACAGCGTGGGCGTGAGGTAGCCTATCGGGTTGGTGCTGCAACTTTATATTTGCAATAGACAGAACAAAAAAAAACAAAAATATAGAACAGCTTCATAAAATAAGTGCTTTATTGATTAAAAAATATTAGGTAGGTATAGGTACACAATTTGAAAGTATCGTAACTTGACTGTTAACTAAATTAGCTCAAGTACCTATCAATTTATTTACAGATTTTGGGCGCAATCGAACAAAATTATGAATTAGATCAAATAGTCTTATTAGTTGCAAGCTTTTATACATAGCACGTAATTGTATTATTACAATTTTCTCGAACAAACGCCGAGTGGTGGCAAGTGATTCCATTCCCGTTCCAATAACTGTGCTGCCTTGTGGCTTCACCCATAGTACAGTAGTACTCTGCTATATATACTACAATTGTGTTTCTCTATTAATATATTACAAGTCATTCAACGCTCAGTCAGAGTTCACTAAACTCGACTGCAATTTCCCGCTCCCAACCGACAAGCCGAACAAATAATATCGTATGCACTAAGCAAATAAACTATACATCTATTATAATTATTACTTTTAAACCAATTTCTTTTATTTACAACCGAGATACTATCAGTAATATATAAATATTAGAACCTTATACTCTCTGTACAATGTCGATAATTTAATAGACTCTTTATTTTTATTCGTATTTTTTGTCTTGAGTGACATGTTTCGAGTTTTTACATCGTTGTGGAAAACATAGTGAGCGACAATCGACACCCGCCCCATCAATGATTTCACATTACAAGGGATATACACAAGTTTACTAATATCAAATCGAAATACAAATACTCCTTCTTTTTTTTTGTCAGGAAATCGAACAGTACAAGTAATAAAGTAACGTTTAGATTTTCATTCCAATACATCATTTTAATGGTGGTGAATGAGATGGAAAGTTAAGAACACTAAATAAATACTACTTACGACTAAGTGTTACAGATTCGAAGCTTCCAGAACATATTGTTGTGTAGTGTTGTTAACGTTCCATCGTGCACTGCGTGTTCGTTGCTACTGTTACAGAACATCGCCACTTGCACATTCGAGGCGACCTGCTACGAATACGTTGTGTAACATTTTCGGTTGCGCCAAATAACAAACATTCAAGTTCAATTTTAACGACGAGAAGGTAACGTTATGGCGACTCTGTACATAATAATATTACTTTGCGTAATTTATAAATACAATAATAAGATCTAGATCGGAATAAAGAATGACGAATCACTACAAAAATATATCACTGCAATCGAATAAGTGCTACTAAATAGTAAATTCAAGTAAGAGCTTGGTGGCGTCCCACGCTACTCGTCGTCCGTGTCGGCGTCCGCGTCCGCGTCGCTGGAGAAGTCGGGCGCCTGTAGCCGCGGCGGCGCCGGCCCGCGCTACTCGTCGTCCGTGTCGGCGTCCGCGTCCGCGTCGCTGGAGAAGTCGGGCGCCTGTAGCCGCGGCGGCGCCGGCCCGCGCTATTCGTCGTCCGTGTCGGCGTCCGCTTCGGCGTCGCTGGAGAAGTCGGGCGCCTGTAGCCGCGGCGGCGCCGACCCGCGCTACTCGTCGTCCGTGTCGGCGTCCACGTCCGCGTCGCTGGAGAAGTCGGGCGCCTGCAGCCGCGGCGGCGCTGGCCCGCGCGTCTGCTGCCTGCAAGCACACGTCATGTAGGGACTACATGCGCGGGACACGCGACCTGTCGGCGGCGGGGTACGTACGCCAGTCGGCGGTAGTGGTTGAGCCACTCCTCCAGCAACTGCGCCTGCAGCAGCGGACGCGGCGGCAGCGCCTGGCGCGCCGCCAGCATGCCGCGCCACTCGCCGGCGCAGACCCAGCGCCGCACCACGCTCTCCGGGTCCGACATCTGCACACACGAACGACGACGTCAGCTCGCAGCGCACTGAGCGCGTGCTGTACCGTACCATGCAAATAGTACTTAACGTTAACGCGAATCGGTTAAAAACTTGCACTAAGCACTTGACCTACTTTGCTATCGTCTATCGTCCTATCGAAATCACAACTAAACAAGTGTCCCTGAAGTTAACGATCAAATGGCACCAGGTAGGTGATCAAGTGAAACAAGTGGATTTATTTCTGCAAATAGGCTACAAGGCAGCACTTTTACACGTCACAATTTTATCAAACGAACGATGAGGCCGACATTTCTAAACTGACGAAAAAAAAAAAACAAAATGTATTAAATTCAGTTTACCAAACGTGCGTAGTAACGATTGTGATATTGTTTTGAACGGTCAAAAGTTAGAATTTGTCAACGAGACAGTATTTTTGGGCATTACGTTAGACAATTACAATGGGGTCCGCATACAAAGGCGCTTACGGGGAGATTGAGCTCAGCTGCTTTTGCAGTTAGACAGATTAGACAGCTCACGGACGTAGATAGCTAGGCTTGTCTATTTTAGTTATTTCCACAGCATTATGTCGTACGGCATTTTGTTGTGGGGTCGAGCTGCAGAAATAGAATCAATATTTATTCTACAAAAGCAGGCTATCCGAGCAATATATAACTTACGCCGTTGCGAATCGCTGAGAGAATTGATTAAAACGATAAATATTTTAACGGTGCCCTCTCATTATATATATGAAAATATAATGTATGTAAGGAAAAATAGGCAATTGTTTGAAAAAAGAAGCGATAGACACAATTTTAATACTAGAGGCAAAAATAAGTTAGCTATACCGCAATTTAGAGTGTCCAAAGTACAGAAATCCTTTATGGGGTTAGGTATTAAATGCTATAATAAAATACCAAATAGCATACTAGATCTCAATGAAAGTAAATTTAAAGCATATATTAACTCGTCGAGTACCGGTTTTATAGACACAATTAAAGAACAATAGGTCGCGGTCACCGGTGACCGCTTGGTGTTTGACAGTTTAAGCGCGAATTATGTAATCAAGCTTACTACACACTGACAGATTATCTTGAAGATAAGAATGCTTGGCAGCATGTTGGTTCGGCTCCACTGGACAATACTCAAATGTAGTCAGTAGCTAAATTCCAATAGTAGGTAATTTAATACACAATTTAACACTTTAATTCTAATGTAGACAATCTAGTTTCCTTATGGCATCGAGCATTTCTTTATTGAAACAAAGAGTTTCCTTTTCTTGTATAGAAGCACTAATTCTATGGATTGTCAGTATGCATATGTGAGCACCATGTTAGACTTCAAGATTTTTATTTATTTTTTTAATTTTAGTAAGTTATTAGTATAATGCGTCAAGCGTGTCTTTGCATTGTTGTTACATATGCGTACAGTATTGAAATATGTATATCAGAGACATTGTACAGGTGTCTCACGGCAGAGTTAGGATTTTAAATTTGAATATTTTAAAAACCGTTGCAAGTAAGCGCGAGAGGAGGAACGCAGTAGCTTCGTCATTCGTGCGGATTCGTTAGTCACGATGTCGCAGTGGTCGGGTGAGCACCGCGCGTTCGCTATCGAAGCGTGTTTGAAAGGTGGAGAATCGTACGTCGTGGCTCGAAGACAGTTTTGTTCTCACTACAATATCAGACGTTTACGCGATGGACCAAGCGAAAATTTGATTCGTAAATGGGTTATCAAGTTTCGAGCTACCGGTTCCGCTATAAATCAACCGCGTCCGGGCCCAAGCAGAACTTCAAGAACGGAAGAAACAATAAACGAAGTTGCAGCAGCAGTACGCAAAAGAGCGACGGCTTTAAACGTCACCAAATCAATCGTAGAGCGGATTTTAAAACGTGATTTGAAATTCCATCCCTATAAAATACAGATAGTGCAGGAAATAAATGAAAATGACTACAATTTACGTAAAAGTTTTTGCCAGACAATCATTGAGAGATTTCGCACTTTGAATACTGTGTTTTGGAGTGATGAAGCACATTTCCATTTGAATGGATATGTTAACAAACAAAATTGTCGCTTTTGGTCAGAAGTCAATCCCAGACAAAAACATCAAAGACCGCTGCATAGCCCAAAAGTGACAGTGTGGTGTGCTCTTTCGGTCAATGGAATAATCGGGCCGTATTTTTTTGAAAATGCGACACGTGTTGCGATAACTGTTTCTGGTGCGGCTTATCGGCAAATGATATCCAATTATTTTATACCCCAACTTCGAGAGCATCCAGCCTACAGCTCAAGAACGTGGTTTCAGCAGGATGGAGTCACTTGCCACACTGCAAGAGCCACTATGGACCAACTTCGTGAATTGTTTCCTCAAAAATTGATATCCCGCTTTGGTGATATGGCGTGGCCTCCGCGATCACCAGATTTGACCCCCATGGACTTTTTCCATTGGGGTACCTTAAGAGTAAAGTTTACGTCAATACTCCGAGGAATATCGCTGAGCTAAAACAAAATATCCAACAAGAAATACGCGACATCGAGCCGGCTATGCTTAGGCGCGTTATGCAAAATGCGATGAATGGATTCCGTGAGTGCGTGCTACGAAATGGAAGACATCTGGAAGATGTAATCTTTAAAAAATAAAATTCGCATTATAGTTCAATAGTTTTCAATAAAAATCTTTTCACAAAAATATGCAAATTGACTTTTATTTCATTTCAAAATCCTAACTCTACCGTGTGACACCCTGTAGAACATACTTTTTTAAAAAGAGTAACGAATGGAGTTTCTTGCTCGTTCTTCTCCATTCGAATCTACTGTTTGGAATGAGCACCTTTTTTTTTTTTTTTTTTTTTTTTTTTTTTTTTTTTTTTTTTTTTTTTTTTTTGATGACGGGGGGAAACCTTCAAAAGGCGCCCAGCCTTTTTGGGGATAAAAGACTAGGGAGTGTGGGATTTTTACCTCACTAAAACCACCCCGGTGGCCACCCTCAACACCTGAATGGAGGCACCGGGTCCTCTATAAGAGACCTGCTCCGGCGCCTCCACGGTGCAACGCCTGTTACGACACATCCCTAGGGAGACGGGTGTCTCCTTTAAGCCTTGCTGTCTACGGCAGCACGTGACCACTGTGCCACCGTCTTCCCTGAGACCACAAGGTGGGCACCTAGAGTCCCCACTCTACGCACCCGTGGCCCCAAAGGTCCGCCTGAAGTTTATGCAGGCGGGATTTCGGCGTGTTAGGCATCAAGGTGGTTACCTCCTCGACGCCTTCTACGAGCAGGATCGGCCCTCTCGCGACCCCGCTCACCAGCTTCCTTTTGGGACATTACAGTCTCACAAAACGAGACTACTTCCCTCCAATTTTCTGTATCTGCCAGCATAGCCTTAACTACGGCTGGCAGAGACAGGTCTGGCCCGATCTTGGCAACCAGGACCCGCCGCTCAGAGGCCCATGCTGAGCACTCCTCGAGCGTGTGCTGTGCGGAATCCAGGTCACCCCCGCAGTGGTGGCAATTTGTCGTGGCCTCTCGCCCAATCCTGTTTAGGTACTCACCAAAGCAACCGTGACCGGTCAGCACCTGAGTAAGCCTGAAGGAGACACGCTCCTCTCTCTTCAGCCAGACTTCGAAGTGCGGCAGAATGGCTTCGACAACGCGCTTACATGAGATCTCCGGCTTTTGTAGCCGCTCACGCCACCGTTCAAGCGCGTGTCGCCTTTCCTGCCGCCTCAGCCTAACGAACGCCACTCCTGGCACTCTACCGCCATTTTGGCGGACAGCACGAATTTGTTCGTAAACTTTGGCATCCATATCCGCCAGGATATCCAATGGCGGAAAGCGAGCCAGGAGAGTTGCCGCCTCAAAAGACACCGTACGGTATCCTCGTGCGATGCGGATGGCCATTTTCCGCTGCAAACGATAAATTTTCGTTCTACAGCGTCGGGCGCCTGACAGTCGAGCTGACCAAACAGGCGCCCCATAAAGGACCATCGATCGCACGACACCCGCATAGAGGCGGCGAACTTCTTCTCGAGGTCCCCCAATATTAGGCAGCAGTCTGTGCAGAGCACCCACAGCCTTCTCAACTCGAGGGACCAGGCGTTCGAAATGTTCTTCGAAGCCCCACCGACCATCCAAGGTCAGGCCTAAATACTTTATGTATCGCCCAACCTGGACCTGCGCATCTCCAACGTGGATTGACGAACTGGGTGGCTCCTTGGTCCTCGGCAGCTTATGAAACCATAGAGCCTCAGTTTTATGAGGCGCTATCTCCAAACCCAGTTCGCGGATTGAAGCCACGACTTTTGCCGCTCCGAGCTCTGAAAGCCGGATAGTCTCCTCAAAGGTACTTCCACTGGCCATTACCAACGTGTCATCTGCGTAGCAAATGACATGGACACCAGCGGGAAGTTCGACACGCAGGACCGCATCATAAGCGAGGTGGAATGAGCACCTAGCTTCACCTAGTTTCACTGACGGACTGACTGACAGACTATTTATTTTGTATTTGTTGACGTTTCAAAAGTACCAAACTATGGTTTAATTGAAATAAATGCTTTGACTTTGACTACTCTGAGAAGAAATGCCGAAACAAACTCAGAGGTCCGTCTCTTTTGAAGTCCAGACAAATGTGTATAAAAGATTATGAGTGAGAACCGTGCAAGTTCTTTCTGTAGCGGCCTTTTGAGGAAATAACCACAACAGTTTGAGCGGACGGCAGTACGCACAAACTGTTGTGGTTATCAGTACGCATGTGTCGGTTTACAATCAGCTCAATTAACAGGTGAGGCTGACTGATTCGACGAACAATACCAACCTCAAGAACATTTGCGTGGGTCGCACAAATACTTAAACTGTCGACAAGGTTCCAACAGTTATCACAAAAATATTAAAAAAGTTCCAAGTCATATAGTTTTTAAATTACAATAAATAATGTATCCACGAAAAAGTACTCCCTGTGCCAGTCTTTTGAATCTTGTTGCTACAAATCTTTATATTTTCTGTATTTTTGCTTACGCCATCCTGAATAGTGTTTCAGTATTATTGAATCATAAATTCTGAGCCAAATGGTTTAGTCGGTAGAAGAATGTCGGTTTTTGGCGAACCAAATGTTCTTAATAAAATTTTCTACTTGGTTTAAGTGACTGCACTGAAAAAAAAAATGTACTGCGTTAGTAGTGGCACACCAAAGTTGACGCATTTAATAAGGATTCTAAAATGGTATGTCACTGTCTACATTATTTCAAATTCGACACAAAAACATATTTTTCAACTAGGACTTGCTAAAACTTATTCTAGTGTACCCAAAGCGCACCTAAAAACCTGGAATGCACTAGGTAACACTTTGCAGGCGACATGCCATCATCGTGTTGCTAAGCATGTTGGAAACCAGCGAGGATCTCTTATTAAACCACATCATCGCTCTACTCAAGATTCCGTTCGCAGTATTCGTCGGCAAAATTGTCGACAAAAGAACAAGTTTGTGCATCACGTCTCATTCATCATTTCTGGTCTTCATTCATAATTTCTGCATCTTCAGTCATTTTTTTTAGCATATTTGGGTATGGCGAGTGCGTCTTCTGGAAACGTTAAACGTTATCTGCTGGACCAACTCGGGACAATCCAAGTAGCCATTAATTATGTCGTATAGTAAACACATCAATTACTCTTCGTCTTTCCTGGAGTGTTGACAGTCCATACGATAGACAGCTGTCTTCGTAGCACATGGGAGCTTAACGAAGGCGATAATTGAGGCTTTACGAAGTCAATTTTCTACGGGGACGAAGTCGCAGGCAAAAGTTAGTTAGACATACGATATCGCAGACTTAGAAGTCGATATTAATGTCGTCTATAAGACTATACAGTACATCGAAAGCGGGCAATACGAGCAATATGTAACTTGCGCCGTTGCGAATCGGTGAGGGAATTGTTTATAACGATAAATATTTTAACGGTGCCCTTTCAATACATATTGAAAATATAATGCATGTAAGGAAAAATAGGTATGAAAAAAGGCGATAGACAAAATTTTATTACTAGAGGCAAAAATAAGTTAGCTATACCGCAATTCAGAGTGTCCAAGGTACAGAAATCCTTCATGGGGTTATGTATTAAATTCTACAATATAAAAATTACGTTTAATTAAACACAACTAAAAAGAAAAAAATAACTATCATTAGTACTGATGGTTACCCACCTACTGAGGTTAGAAGTCGGCGCCATAAGTTCTGTACAAAATTATTCATTAAAACCTAATTTACAATTTTGTGGCCATTAAGTTATATCAATATGATATGAGCTTATGTTATTTTTTTCTTTCTAGTTTTGTTATGCTTTTTTAGCTTTTGGTTTTTTGAAGTCGGTTTTTTAAACGCAGTTTGCGGATTATATAAACACGTTTACTACAAACTGCCAGATTATCTAGGAGATGTGAATACTTGGCAGCTTGTTGGTTCGGCTCTACTGAAATTGTCCAGTGTCAAAGTTACTCAGATTCTAATAGTAGTAATTTAATACTTTTATTCTAAAGTAGATAATCTAGTTTGTTTATGGCATCAAGCATTTCTTTATTTATTGAAACAGAGTTTTCTATTTCCGGTATTCCACTATTTTTATAGATTGTTAGTATGTGGGAGCACCACATTAGATTAAGATTTTACTTCTTAATTTTTCGTCTTATTTTTAGTAAGTTTTGTGTTAAGCGTGTCTTTGCATTGTTTTCACATATACTTACAGTATTGGAATATGTATCAGAGACATTGTAGAACACATTTTTTTTAAAGAGTAACTAATGGAGTTTCTTACTAGTTCTTCTCCATTCGAAAGTACATTTTGGAATGAGCAGCTAGCACCGATGGACTGACAGAGTATTATGTATTTGTTTGAAAAGTAGCAAAGCCCGGGCTGACCTCGTCCGCGTTGAGGAAGTGCACGGGCAAGAGCTTGCCGTCGGCGTCGGTGAGCGGCAGCGCGGCGGCGCGGTCGGGGCGCGCGCGCGCCACCAGCGCAGAGAAGTGGCCGCGCGTGTAGGCCAGCCCCAGCGGGCTCGTGCTGCAGGCCTCGGGCTCGCACTGCAGCGGCAGGTACAGGCCGCGGAAGCGCGCGTAGCCCAGCGCCTCGCCGCGGAACGAGCTCACCACGTCCACGCCGTACACCACGATGGGGCGGCGCAGCACGTGCGCCAGCGCCCACACGTGCAGCTGGTGCAGCGCCTGGCCCGGCCGCGCCGCCGCCGCCGCCAGGCGCGCCCACTCCGCGCGCAGCTGCGCCTCGCTGGGCGCGTACTGCAGCCGCGCCGCCTGCGCGCGCTCCCACGCGGCCCAGCGCGCGTACAGCCCGCGCTGCGCCAGCGCGTCGGCCAGCGCGGCGCGCAGCGTGTTGTGGCGGTCGGCCACGCCCCAGGCGGCCTGGCACAGCGCGTCGGGCAGGCAGTCGCCGGCGGACCGGTTCCACAGCGCGTACAGGCGCGAGCCGCGCCAGTTGAGCAGCGGCGGGCGCGCGCCCTCCAGCGTGGCCTGCGCCTCGCGGTCCAGCAGCTCCGAGAACAGCTGGTCCTGGATGGCGGCCGGCAGCTCCGATATCTCGGCCGGCAGGTAGAACGTGCAGAACTCTCCGATGTACCGCGCGGGAAAGCCTCCCTTCTTGTAGCGCACCGTGCTCGCGATGTGGCGGCGGATGGCCGACGCTAGGTCGGGCGCTGCGACCGAGGATTTAACATTTACAAAAAACTTCCGTAAACTTCATAAATCTTATATTATGCTGTCGTAACAATTTGCGGACGAACTTACGAATTTACTAGTATTTTAAGAGGCGACTCACCGATATAGGAAGGAGATCTCTTGAGACCGGGCCCGCCGCCTGATATCCGTGACAGAAGCGTCGATAGAATCTCTTGTCGCTGGAATCTGAAACACAAGACGTACTGAAGCATTGCAGGAGAGAGCGCGCAGGCGTGGGCGGGCCGTACCTGATGGCGAGGTGCACGAGCGTGTGTCCGGCGTCGAAGGCGGAGGCGCGGTCCAGCAGCGCCACCTCGGCGGCCGTGAGCGCGCGCGCCGGGTCGCCGCCGCCCGCCAGGTACGCGTCCACGCAGCGCGCGTCGCCCTCCACCACGCCTGCAACACAGCGCCGTCAGAGCCGGGCCGCCCGCCGGGCCGCCGGGCCGGGCCGCCACTCACCCAGGCAGGCCTGCAGCCACATCCAGTCCGTGGTGTTGCGTCGCTTGGAGCGGCGCGCGCCGTCCAGCTCGTGGATGGACTCGCTCTGACTGTTGCAGATGTCGTTGATACCTGCCGCACACATACACGTTATTACAAACAAACTATGGACGAAGCCAAGCAGGTTGATGTGGTTTACACAGTTTGCAGCAAGGCACGGCCTTACAGAAGCTTATTGACACAGGCATCAGCGGCGACCTCTTGAGGTGGTTCGCTTGATACATCGACAATAGGTCACAAGCAGTGATACTCAAAAACTACACTTCTAGCTGGGTAAATAAACCAGCGGAATGCCTCAGGGATCTTTGCTCGGTCCTTTTTTATTCGTAATCTGTGTGAACGACATCAACAAGTACTTACATACATCCAAACTTTTATGTTTTGCTGACAATATGAAACTGTCAGCTACTATCTCAACACCTAGCGATGGTCTGGTACTCCAGGCAGATTAGCATCGGCTTGAAGAGTATTGTCAGATTAATAAACTAGATCTCAACCCATCTAAGTGTTCCATAATCACTTACACTAGAAAGCCCAATGTCCATATCACTAATTATACCTTAGAGTATCAGCCCTTACCAAGATTATGGGTTATGGCGCCGACTTCTAACCTATCAGTGGGTGGGTAACCTATCAGTATTAATATTAGTTATTTTTGCTTTTTTGTTTTTGGCTTTTTGTTTATAAATTTTGGTTTTTTGATATATGTTGATAGCGGAACACAGATCCAGTCTTTTAGAGAATCCATGGTCGAACGTTTGAACTCGACCTTGAAGGCGGTGTCCTGGGGTGACGCCAACTTGGTTAGGTTCAATGCTAGCAAAACCCAGGCGTGTCTATTTTTCGCGTGAGACGGTACTTCACGCCGAACAATTGCTGAGCCTGTACCAAGCACAGGTTCGGTCCTGTATGGAATACTGCTCTCATCTTTGGGACGGCTCGGCAAAATATCAGCTGGACGCGTTAGAGCGCATTGAGAGGCGTGTCAAGAGGCTCATCGACGATGATGCGCTTGTGAAGGCTCGGCTTCAAAGCCTCGAACACAGGCGTAAGGTTGCAAGCCTTTCGGTTTCCTACCGGATACATTTCGGTGAGTGTGCGGGGGAATTGCACAACTTGATTCCCCCTTGTCCTTTCCATCATCGTACCACAAGACAATCGGCGAAGCGTCACCGATTCATGTAGATGTTCCGCCCACAAGCACGGAGCGCTTCGCTTCAAGCTTCCTTGTGCGTACTGCTAAAGAGTGGAATTCTTTGCCAGAGTTTGTATTTCCTGAAGGGTATAACCTGAGAGTCTTCAAGGCCCGAGTGAATAGGTTGCTTATGGGACGACGTGCTCCATCGTAGACCGCATCATCGCTTATCACCAGGCGAGATAGTGGTCAAACGTCGCCCCATCAAATATAAAAAAAAAAAATGTTACGGAAACATTTCAAGTTTCAAATAATATATGGATATTACGAAGTACATAAACAGACACTCACCGAGCGCAGGGTGCGCGGGATGCGGCGCGGGCGCGGGCGGGGGCGCGGCGGGGGCGGGCGCGGGGGGCGCGGGGGGCGCGGCCGGGTTGGTAGTGCCGCACATGGCGCACTTGAGCGCGCGCGGCCAGTTGTCGTAGGTGCACGTCTGCACACAGGGGCCGTCAACAAGGGTCGCGCGCTGGCTGGCGCCGCGCAGGGCTGTACTTACCGGACATGACCACTTGGCGACGGACGATGCGCTGGCGCCCTGCGGGGAAGATATCCGCAGCGGCTTCAGGCGCTCCGTCACTGCCTCCGCACCTGCACCACATCCAGGAGTTGACTCTGTTCCAGCTACTGACAACAAATTACCTACCAAAGGTTCATTCTTAGTCTACAATAAATGAATATTATCAATTGGGTTTTTTTCTGGGTCAAAAATAAATTATTTAGATTTTTCAATCCAATTAAATATTCAAAAACAATTACACTTCCATTCATATATTTGACGATATACTTAATTTTCGATTTATTCTAGCAATTTTTTCAGAAAAAAGTGTGCTATTTCACTGGAAACTATAATGACGTCATAAGTTAGTTTTTGGCACAAAATTCATAGAACAATGTCGTATTTGACGTTTCGATAAAAGTATTGAATTTAACTAGTTGTTAAATACGGTATTTAATATGACTCCTGCTCACTTTCCCACCCACAGTCACTCGGAGAGGACAGTCAACTTCACAATATTCTCCTAACTCCTAAATAATGCATCCAATAAAATTCTGTAGCTAAGGCAAAATGTATCCGCTGTAAAAATTACCAAAGTGATGAAGCAAGTCTCATCTGTAACAGAGACTCAGTAACTATGTGGATATATTACAGCGATCTATTGTCTCACTCATGATTCACTAGCTACTCCCACGCGGTTTCACCCGCACTGCTCCGCTCCAATTCATCGTAGCAAAATGTTTTATAGCCTATATATAGCCTTCATCAATAAATGGAGTATCCAACACAAAAAGAATTTTTACAATCGGACCAGTAGTGCAAACAAACAAACTCTTCAGCGTTATATAACGAAAGTAAGTAAATATAAGATTCCACTTCCCACTCCATGATTGATTATAATGATTATACTTCCATAGAGAGATCAGGTGCAGAACTAATAATTATATTTACATGATTTCAGAAGCGAGATCTAGAAGTATCTAATAAGGTAAACCAGAGGAGCCCGTTCGAAACAATTTGTTCATAATTATCTTTAATAGATAGAAGTTGTTACCACAGATTTCTTGGGTGGGTAGAGCACTGGCACCGTCTTGCAGCCTGAAGATATCTTCGTTGACCACGGATTTGGGACTGCGGCACATGGTACACTGCAATAATACCATACAACTTTATGTAGGCATGCTTTAATTAGTGGAACTAATGCAAAGCTTTGCTTGATCAACTATAAAGAAATCTAGTAATAGTAGGAAAGGAGAGGCCGTGATTCTACAGATCAAGTTATGCAAGCATCATAAGTAATACTGGCATACTTAATCTGGTATCTAATCAGATAAGGTTCTTTTTGGACTCTCCTTGGGCTTCTCATTGTAAAATGGAACTAAAGAATACCTTTCGTGAGAGAGGGAAGTTTTCATAAGTGCACACATGACAGCACCACTTGGCACCCTCCGTGGCCGTCACAGAGCTTGCTGTCATCTGAAACAGGTTACATTGAAAATAGATTAGATTGCTACTTTATAATCAGTGAACAGTAAACATACAATACAATGATTTATAAAACAAAGTCAATGCAATGATTCACATATCATCAACAAAATTGATTCATTTATTTAGCAAAAACTTGGTGAATATTATTGTACAACTTCCTGAAGGATTCAGTAGAGGCATGTTTTAAATGATAAATGACATTTTAATTTACTAATAGGTTACAATGTAACACCCACTTTTCACTATTTATGTTGTGAGTCCCAGGAAATAGGGGGGGAGCCTATTGCCATGTACCGGGAACATTTCCAGACACAGTATTACTACTGAGATTTTTTTAAACCCTAGTAGTGCTTTGCCCAACCCAGGAATCAAACTTGAGACCCCTTGCCCGGCAGTCTGTATTAAGAGCTGTCATGTGCACCTATGCCTACCCCTTTGGGGAGAAAAGATGTTATGTTGTTGTTGTTGTTGTTAATAGGTAAATGTAAAGTAACACTTTTACATGTAAATCTTTAAATTTCTGAAGAGTAGGCACTCTGAGAAGAAATGTCGAAACAAACATCAACGGTCATAGTCTCTTTTAAACTACAGGCAGATGAAGAATTATGTGTGAGAACCAAGCAAGTTAATTTAGTTGGTGGTCTCTTGAGGAAACAACCACAACAGTTTGAGTGGACCAGTTCTCGGGGCCGCATGCATGGGTCAATTTCCAATCAACTTAACTAACAGATGTTGAAAAGCAGGAAGAAAGCATTTATTTATTGCCGAATAATTTGACAAACAATACCAACCCAAAGAACATTAGAGTAGATCGCACATATGCTCAAACTGCCAAAATGTTAAGGTCCTGTTACATTATTTCTGATAGTTTCGATTGGTGTTAATAGAAACTCAGTTAGGAGTGGTGAAAGTCCCTGAATGAAACATCTATTAGCTGATTCTTTCATTTTAACTTATATTGGGAAGGTCTTAAAGATGACAGCGATGCGGATGTACTTTGTGAATTGCTTAGTATACATAAACACAAGTATATTTTGAATAATATAAGTAAACTATATTGAGCAGATCTAGCCGTTGATGAACCTGGACACAGATTTAGTGAATGCAGTGAGAGGGTGAGTCACCTGGCTGATTGTAGTCTGTGAGATGTTGGTGGACGCATCGAGCGTAGCGCACTCGGCCCCCGACGCGTCCGACTCGTCGAGCGACGCGCTGTTCCTGCTCCCGTCATCCTGCACCTCCTCACTCATCTTATCATCAATTTATAACATTGAGACTTATTCTTCATGTGCACTTCACAATTAATTGCTATGAGGTTCTCATTATACGAGATTCTTTAGTATTGTTAGGTTTCTATTTATACAGATGTCGACTATTGTTTCGTATAGTGCACCTGTACACGATTTCTTGTGACCTAAAATAAAAACGTACACCATGACCCGACCACTATGAATGTCAACACACGTTATAATAATTGAAAGTAGAGTGATAGGTAAATATTTTCACCACAAGAATGTCTTATTGGTATCAATACTATCAATGACAGAACGAGACAACATACCATACGTGTATGAAAAACTTATTTATTCTAGGTCCGAGGTTGTTGATATAAAACTTGGCATCGTTCTTCCTAGACTTTTGGCGTCGTTACACAACATAAAACATCGAGAGTCCGATGGCATAAGGTCAAGACTACTAGAGCGATGATACTATTTTACTCACTCACTCTGTGCTGACGATGTGACGATCAACTTATAACTGTTCTACACGAAAATATACCAAACAATGGATAAAACAAACCCGGGGAAGACAGAAGAAAACGTAAAAGAAACAATGGAGATAGAGGCAATTATGTTTATACGGTATTTTGACAAATTTTGTGTCAAGTCAATTTTGGTGTCAATATGCACAGACCTACTATAATATGGACCAGAAGTAATGATCTATAGCTTATTTGCTTATACAAATATATATCAAATCGATATAGAAATATGAAACCACACTTTGTCTCTTTTTAATCAATGAGTTTCCTCATTTGAAGAAAGAGACGTCATGTTGTTTGTTTATTCTCTGCCTGGCAACATTTCTACATTTCTGACAAGGTACCTACCTCGCGTGCCAGCCGCCATCTTTAGGCCGCATAGTTTTGTAGTACATCAGGTGTCAAGCAAACAAAAACATTAGATTTGGATTGCGATTTTTAACAATAAAAACGCTCCCAACTTATTTGTTTTGTGCTGTGTGCTAGTGGTGCATGTTAATAATATGTCTACTTGTTCAATAATTCAGTGTGGGGCAAGGAAAAACCCCAATCAACCTCATTTGACTATGCACAGGTTAGTAGCCGTATTTTAAGAAAAAACTTTATCATACTATTAGTTTTCTTGTTTATCTAGCCTTGTTTTATATATAGAATAAAAGCCCCCAAATGTACATTAAATTTGTTTATGATAACTAACTTCATTTGCTAAATTTGTTTAAGTTTTGTTTACAATACAAATGACGATTTACAAATAGTGATGTATTTTATTTAATAACATATCGATAAGAAACTAACATATTTTTAGTTTGTATGTTATGGAGTCCAGTAGAGTAGAGTATCAAAATAAAGGGTCTGAAGAGACCATTTTGAAAATAAATCTTACAGAATAGAAATAAAAATAGGGATAGTACCATAACATAATAATATCAATTCTTCATACAGTAGGTACTTTCATTTAGTTCAGTCTATGATTTGTACCACTAAATGTACAAAACTGAAATAATTTTAATGTTTTTTTTTTATTTCCACAAATTCCCTAAAAATGAAGTGCTGCGTCAGAAGTGGCTTGAAGACATTCGATGATTTGTACCTTTAAAAAAAAATTCAAAGGACCAGAAGATTTTTAATGTATAAAACTCTGCTATCGATATCGATACTTTTTGGTTTTGACTACAGTACTTCCCTAGCAATGGCAGCCATTTTTAGGCCGCGGTTTCTAGTAGGTATGCACGCGTATTTTGTAGGTATTTCTGGTCCATATTATAGTAGGTCTGTGTCAATATGTGAAACGAGGAGGCTCGCTCAGAATTATTGTTGTCAAAATTATACAACCCCATTGCATTTACTGGTTTTCTATTGGCTATTATTTTTTTCTTTTAGCTTTGTTATTTTTTAACCAATTGTAAATTCATATTTATGTATTTAGCCAATAATAATAAACAATGGTTTAATCAAAATGGCTACACCTCTGTTTAGTAATCTGTGGGTTACGCTAAAAAATTAAAGATATTTGTCTATGAATCTACGTTCCGTTTCACAAAACAGGCACTGTTTAACTGTACACCATATATACGAATGAAAATAAAATTACTAAAATAATGTATTCTATATTCCGTGAAAATAATAGACTGAATAGACACACACATGGATGGAGAGAGACATAAGCTACTTTTAGTCTGTTCAAACCCCCCCACTTACTTATAATAGGGGTGGAAGTTTGTCAAAGTTTGTTCGCTACATTCCGAAAGTTTTTCAGGAACTACTGGTCATTTAAGAATAATTATTTTAATGTTGGATAGTCTGTTTATCGTGGAAGGCGAAAGGCTATAAAATATCACGCTACGATCAATAGGCGCCGGTCAGAGCAGAGCGGGTGAAGCATCGAGGAAGTAGCTATACTTTTTTTTTTATATAATAAAGCTGAAGATTTTGTCGTTTGAACATGCTATCTCCGAAATTAATGGTTCGAATTGAATAATTCTTTTGTGTTAGATAGTTAATTTATGGATGAAGACTATATATCAATAGGAACAGAGCAGGTGAAACCGCGCGGCATCAACTAGTATCAACTAATATACCTTTGTGCTTCGAATGACAAAAAATGATGTCATGTGAATGACAAATTTTTAGTACAACTGTTTTCCGCATGTTTAGAAAATAATTGTTTGTATTTCAAGTTTGAATCTGTTACAATGATTTAGTTAAAGTTAAAAACTCTGTTCACAAATTCGAATGAATTTTAGACGTATTTTGTCGAAAAGTTCTTTGAAGTCTTCGTCATCTTCGGAAAAGAGCCAACCGGAAGAAGTCACAAAATTACAAAGTGAAATTGAATTATTAAAGCAAACAATCGATTCTTTGAAAGTCTCAATAGAAAGTAGAGATGCGGCCATAGGTACACTAGCTCGTGAAAAAGAGAAAATATATGTTGAACTCAAAAGTGCTCAAAGAACAAACAGGAACTTACATCAACAACTTGTAGATGAAAGGTAAAAAAATGTGAATTTGATATATACATAGATACTTACACTACGGTTACCTAGCTAATTTAGAGCAAGACTGTTGATCAGTGAGTATTCAATTTTGGTTGAACGTACGGACTCGTTTACTTAGAAAGACGATAGGCTCAAAGATCACGCTTTTCACGCTGGCGAATAATAGAAGCAGAGTTGCTCTAAACCGCGCGAGAGTAGCCGATGGTTGGAACATATAGCATGTTGCATCAATACCCTAAGTGAGATTTACCTACAGATTCCAAAACTACTTGTAAGTGTTAGGTATTGGTACCAGGGTGCGCTGGATGGCGTAGGTATGGGGTCTAAATTATTTTTTTCAGTTTGTAACATCCAACGTACCTATGTATCAAAATGAAACTATTACGAAATCTATGAGATCTTAATTCGTAGGTAATAATTGTCATAATTCTAGGGACATACATTCTAAGGAAAAGGATTTTCTCATAAATGAGATTAAAAGATTGACCAAAAGAAACGAGAATGAAACGAATGCTCAAGATAATAGAGATGTAAGTATCATTAAACAACTTCAGTAGGTTTTACAAAAGTTACATTGTATGTAGGTATATAGGAAACAAAAGTTTTGTAAAGACTTGTATTCGACACAAGTTGATCTAAACTTGCAAGCTGAAGTGGTAGTGTGTCTTGCATCTACAATCTAGGTGGAAGAACGATACCTGCAAAGTAGGTACAGTACATACAACAAGGGTTCAGGTTTCGGGTAAGTCTTAGCTCGACTTAGAAGGAATACTGTCGTGCCCGTCGAATATGGCACATGTTAAATATATTTGCCTGCCTTATTATTGGCAATAGTGTGTTTAAATATTCTTTTATTATATTTTACAGCAATTCGAAGATCAAGTGAAGAGCGCAATAAGCGACGAGTTAAAAGCTAGAGATGAAGTAATTTGTAACATTGGTGCTAAGTATTTAAAAATTAAAACAAGCAAAACACTTTTCCAAAAAAAATTTGAAAAGTTGCAGGCTCAGAATAAGAAGGTAATTATTGATATCAATTACCTACATTTCTTGAACTACAGCTGCTAATGTCTCGACTGGCGAGTTGCAAGGGACACAAAAGAAAATCCTACCTACAAGCGACAAGCATATTCAAATCGCTATCGAGACGTTAAGCGCTGTTGAAATAGGGGATGAAGGTTTGTGTGTAAGTTCATTCGCCATTTTGTGGTTTCTGAGTAGACATCGTGCGGTACGTATAGGTACCTACTATGTGGAAAAGGGATGAATAGAAATACTGCTTTAATTTTTTCACATTACCTACCTATATACCTAACTATGCTGACTTATCTGTTATTTTACAGACGTGTGAAAATATTATATTATTGCTACAAGATAATAGAAAAACTTTGGATAGTCTTTTAGATAAGTTGCTTAAATCATCTTCGATCTCTCCGAACAGTCGAAAATATTTAAAACTGTTGCAAATCAATGCCAGCTTGCACTACGAAAACACTCAACTTAAGATATATTTATCATCTCATCAAGATCGTACCAGCAATGTAACACAAGAGCCCTCTAACAAATATTGTTCTATTGGTAAACAAACGACTTCTGGAACCAAATCCGAGGAGAAAATGAACCATCTTTCAATAAATTCAATGATGAAATTATTAAACGCCCATGAATTTGAAAGTCTTAAGAGTTTCAAATATATTCATAAAACTTTTTCTCCAAATATTCGAGGTACGATTTATAGGTCAGTTTCAGATTCATGTATCGTGAGATCGACTATAAGTGAATTATGCTAGTATTATATTTGAAATGGGTAAATGTGGTTTTATTTCAATACCTGCAACTTATTATCAAATATTCTATTTTATATTGCTTTTTTTCTGTCGCGATGGAAATCCTCTTGGCCTTCCCACGTCGTGGGGACGACGAGGGAGTGTGTCGGACTCTTACCGGCTTATACCACCGCGGTGTTCCTCTACTGCCTGTGACCGTGGTCAGGGATGTTCTTTCGGAATCACTACACCCGGCAGACTTCGACCTACCGCCATGTTTGCAGGTGGTCCCGCCACGTTAGCGACCCTGGAAGGGTGCTTCCTTTCCTCGCCTGTGAAACACTACACTTACGCCTAATCCCGCCTATACATCGGAAGCCTGATTCCCTCAGTCAGTAATCCGTGGGCCTATCTTATGGAGGTCGCAGATAGGGTGGTGCCTCACGGTGCTGATGACCGGCGTGAGCACCGCCTCTCTATGGACGAGAGTCAAATTTCTAGAAATGTTCAGTGTCTTAAAAAGAAAACTAAATTCAGATAAATCCATGGAAATATCAGGAAAAGCAGACGAGTTGAAATCATATTAGCAAACAAATGGTTCATTTTTGTAAAATCGAAATACTGGAACACGCTCCCATTGCATTCATTGTCTATGAAATTATCGTTACGAAATGTTACCATATCACGATTTTATCCACTTTTAAGGGAAACCGCTGCTATCAAAAAGCAATTTTGGTAAAAATTAACAAAAAAAACATAAGTACCTACTTTTGTTTGGGAAGTAAGAAAGAGAAGGAGGACAATAAGCAAGGACTATAAGAATATACATTTAATCATTGAATGTATTTATTATTCCACTTAATTGTTGACTGATGCGGTCACAACACAGTAATTAGTTAATTACACACTAACATCCCTGTTATTGTGATCAGGATAATTGTAAATAAAACGCCAATCTGGTATACTTTTTCGCTGCGTTTTCAAATATTAAAATTTGTCTATTTCATAGATTTAAAAAAAATACCTACGATTTTAAAAATGTTTTTTTTTTGTAATAATGCAAATCAATTTAATTTAATAAATATCTGATATATCTTAACACGCATGTCACGAGCTATAATTTTTTTACTTTTTTATGCTTTGCAACTTAGACTTTGTTAATTTAGAAAAATTAGAAATTTTATAGGTTTTCAAATAATTTCAAAACCTATCAAAAAAAATAATAGGACAATAGACTGGTAACTAGAAAACTGTATTATTTTAAGTGTTATTCGAAATTCCCTTAAAATAGATACTTACTGAGTCCGAAAAAATACCCATCTTTAGTGGTAACTAATAATAGGGCTAGCTAGATTGATAGGAAATTTTTAAACTGTGGTGGTAAAATTCGATGTGCCATTCATGCGGAAACTAAAGTTACGAGTTGGTAACACTGTGATCTCCAGATTTGTGTGCGCCGGCATCGCCAAAGAGTATAATAAGTATAGGGGTAAAGAGTTGCCACTCGTCAAAATTTATGCCAATCAATTTGAAACGCCATCTGAAAATTGAATCCAAGTATATTTTTTTTTTACTAATGTCTACAGATAATCCTAAGTATAGCTAATGCCAATACTACCAACAATGCACCTTGCAGGTTGGTACATTGAAGGTAGTATTGGAATTAGCTATGTCTGGTAGCTGCAAAATCAAAGAAGTTATTAATTACAATATTACATTTATTTTACAGTAAATACAAATTAACATTTAAAAATTATCAGCTAGTAGGGAAATATCAGACGACAGATTTGTTCAAAGTATAATTCAAATTTTAGTTCTTTTTAATTTTATGTTTACAAATTTCAGATAAAATATGTCGTTCAAAATTTATTTGAATTAGTTATTTTTTTAATTATTGATCCCACAAAGAACTAAAATTAAAAATATTTACTGTTCACCGTTGTTTACACAGTACCTAACAGTAGTTAACAATCTGATGATATAAATTAACCGTAATACCTACACAAATGTAGTACATTTTACCATCGATTTGAATCGCTTACAGTATTTACAAAAACACAAAATTATTATACAATTTACATAACATAACATACATAACATCACGCCTTTTTATCCCCGAAGGGGTAGGCAGAGGTGCACATTTCGGCACTCAATGCCACTGTACAATGTAACACCCACTTTTCACTATTTATGTTATAAGTCCCATGTAATAGGGGGTGAGCCTATTGCCATATACCGGGCACATTTCCAGACTACTCTACTACTATTGAGATTTTTTTAAAACCCAGTAATACTTTGCCCGACCCGGGTATCGAACCCGAGACCCCTTGCCCGGCAGTCGCACTTATTATTATAATGTCGAAAAATATAGTGCTTAAAAATAAGTCTCAGTCTGCCTCTCAGTCAGTCTCAGTTTTTTAGTACTTTTTTTGCTAGTTGCTAATAATGCCTGACTTAGTCGTTTCCTATATCTAGTTATATTACAGTCATTTTTACTAAACAACTACAGATTTTTCCTATCCTCAAATATAATATTTTTATAACATTATAATGAAACAAAGTAATATTATTATTATAAATACAAATGAAAATGAAACAGGCAAAATAATGTGGGAAATCCCAATTCAGACAGACTTCACAGTTGCCCACAACAGACCGGACATAATATACACAAACAAAACATCCAACACCACATACCTCTTTGACATAACTGTACCATGTAACTACAACATAGGATACAAAGAAATTCAGTAAATACCACTTTTTAAAGACACAACTCAAGGCTAGACGCCTTGAAATATTGAAACGCATGTTAATTCTATAGTAATTGGAGCCACAGGAGTAGGTACTAGCCAAAAGCCTCAGCAGATACACAGACAAAGTAGAAACATAAATAGACATTAGCCACCATTCACACAATAATCATTCTTAGCAAAGTACTAGGAGACACAGGTTTCGTCATATACATTCCAGATTCCGATCAATTACAACCATCTCAAGCGCAAACACCACATACCACTCAGTCAACCATCACATGAAGCTCACAATCCACATCTGGCACACAAACTACACCCAGTTAGTAGTCAAGTAGTCAGCAGAAGAGAAAGAAGGAGATTTATAAGTCAAATTTAGAAGGGGCTATGAGCATCGTTTTTCCTGCGGGTTGCGGGAAGCGGTGCCCATTTTCACCAGGTCAAGCCCAAGAAGGAGAGACCTCTACATATATGAATACAAATAAGTAAAACCTAGAATAATGCTGCCAGTCTTTTGGGCACCCTACTCCACGATAGCGATGAAAAAGAATTTTTTGATGCCCTAAGGTAACATTTTTTTTAAGGTGTGAATATGTACCTATTTTAGTTTATTTATAATTTAATATTACTTTGTTGTGCGTAGGTACTTAAAATGTTGTTCTAATTATGATATATACATTAATACAAAGATAAAAATAGTTTTACAAAAATAATACGGCTTTAATATTTGCAGCGATCTATGGGTTTCTTGTTTCTTGAGACAACATACGTCTGAATGTTAGAATAATTCCAAATAGTACCTGAAAAAAAAAACAAAGATTATTTTTACATGCACGAATATGTATTTTATTTATTTGTTTTCTTTTATTTATCTAAGGTAGGTGTACCTTACGTGATATTACTGATGTTACAAGAATAATATAGTATTTACCATCTCTAAAATAGGTTTCAAGCACTGCTGGTATAGATCGGCACTTTATCCGGACATCGTAAGACTCGTAACTGCCGATAAAAAATTGCATATTGATATTCTGCAATGATGATGCTGAAGTAATATCGATGCAATAGCAATTCCAAATATCACTGTAACAAATATACAAAAGAAAAAGTAGAAATTATATAAAAACTACATAGTTTGGTATCTCAATGAATCAAATAAAATGTATAAATAGGTTCAATAGCAAAAATCATAAACTTGTTGTAGGTTTTACCTTCAGCAACATGATTGTATTCTTCGTATTGATGTTCTTTATTATAAATAATAGATATATACGCAAATTAAAGCGTTCCTTTGTAAAATCAAGTCCAATGAATAGACAAACAAACACAATGTACTTTTGTGATTTGTGATACACATGTATACAAAAGGTCCTTTATAGAAAACACAACACGCATCGCAGAACTTCCTTTTTTAGAAAAACAATCACAAAATCCCATCACAAATTATTAAATAATTTAAAATATTTTTGGCAAAAATTTTTACAATTTTGACATTTCAAATTTTTGTTTTTGTTTCTTTTCTTTATCAAGCAAAAAGTATACATATTATATGCCAGTATTAAAATAGTACAAACTACATGCATACTATTTTATAGAAATAAGGAGATAATATAAAAAAGTATTTAATATCAATATCTAATTATTAACAATATTATTCTAATAGTTATTTATTATCTAAATAATTTGGAAAATTATTATTGTAATGTTTTAATATTTTTTTAGCCCCAGCGTTGCCGTAAAAAATAATAATTTGACAATCCATAATAGTACAAGAGCCTATGAACCCCAGACCTTTGTTATTTATAACGGACTTAAAAAAAGGAAAAGTTATATAAGGTTTTTTTATGTTCCTTCAGGGATGACTTCGTCGTTTTTTAACGTATTTTGATGATTCTTTTTTAACCGACTTTAAAAAAGGAGTATCAGTTTGACCTAAATGTATATACATATGTTACAGCCAAAGTGATTAATTTGATATTATTCGTAATTACTAGTAATTAATCAATTAATGACTAGCTATTATGAGTAATATCTTCGAAAACTTGGATAAAGTAAATCAGCAAATGGAAATGAACAGGGCTGACGTCTGCACAAAATTTTGAATTTATCGTCATGGGTGTCGTTTTCATGGTTTTCGAGGGTGATAAAGCCGATGGTCCTGTCAAATTGTAAATCCAAGATGGCGTGCGCACAAAATTTTTCAATTTATCGTCATGGGTGTCCTTTTCATGGTTTTCGAGGGTGATAAAACCGATGGTGTTGTCAAAATGTAAATCCAAGATGGCGTCTGCACAAAATTTTGAATATATCGTCATGGGTGTCGTTCTCATGGTTTTCGAGGGTGATAAAACCGATGGTGTTGTCAAAATGTAAATCCAAGATGGCGTCTGCACAAAATTTTGAATGTATCGTCATGGGTGTCGTTCTCATGGTTTTCGAGGGTGATAAAGCCGATGGTGCTGTCAAAATGCAAATCCAAGATGGCGTCTGCACAAAATTTTGAATGTATCGTCATGGGTGTCGTTCTCATGGTTTTCGAGGGTGATATAGCCGATGGTGCTGTCAAAATGCAAATCCAAGATGGCGGCTGTACGAAATTTTCAATTTATCGTCATGGGTGTCGTTTTCATGGTTTTCGAGGGTGATAAAGTCGATGGTGTTGTCAAAATGTAAATCCAAGATGGCGTCTGCACAAAATTTTGAATTTATTGTCATGAATATCGTCTTCATGGTTTTCGAGGGTGGTAACAAAGATGGTGCTGTCAAAATGCAAATCCAAGATGGCGGCTGCACGATATTTTCAATTTATCGTTATAGGTGTCGTTTTCATGGTTCTCGAGGGTGGTGAAAATGATGGTGCTGTCAAATTGTAAATCAGAGATGATGACTGAACGAAATAGAGTTAGTGCATTTATCGAGAAAGATTAAGTATGTGTGTGAATGTGTGTGTGTGTGTGTGATAGAGAGACAGAAAGAATGCGTGCAACCTATTTTATAGATTTTCTATGAAAATTGAGTATTTTCATATAATATTAGTTTTTATATAATAAAAACGGTGGCCTAGACCTGAGGTTCACAGGCTCTTAGGTTAATGCTTTTGGATGCAGAAACCTGACGCAGTCACTTCATAGAGTTTAGTTTGTCATCCATCACTGAATATCTTTTTAATCTCTATTATTAGTAAAGAGGCTGTCATCTTTGATCGATTATGCCAGCATAACTGTCATTTGATCTAAGTTTAAGGAATTATTTTGTAAAAATTGCAATATAGTATTAAATAAATGTGTATAATGTTATTTTACTATTTCCAAAAAATATTATTTTAAGCCTAAATTTTAAAATAATTTTGCAACCTTGCTTGGAACTGTGTGGCCACTGAAAATATTAGTTTTGACAACATTTAATTTCAGGTTCGAAAACTAGATGTAGTTGACGGTCCGATTTTTTAAGCTGTCAATGGCTCTAAGTGTGACGGCCCTGGGCATCGCACGTGAACGTGTCGCAAAAATCTCAAAAAATTAGTGAAATCATCATGTCGGACGAATATTTTTATGGTAAGTGTTAATATTTATATCAATAAGCATGCAATTAAAGTTTTATTTGCTACGTTTAGGCAGTACTTCGTAGAGTAATATCTAAAAAACTTCTAGCGTCCGCTTTGACACCCGGCTCTCGCCATTTTATTTCACAATATGTAGTGGATATGTTATTTTTATCGCTTTCTGAAATAAAATGTCGCCATTTCATTATTCTCTGTATATCTAGGGGTTCTTTAAAAATGTTGTCGTGTGTTAATCGGGCTTACCGCCATTTTTGATGTATCTTGCTAAAATGGCTAATTTCGATTCAGTAATGGCGTTTCTCTGTGCTATAAGTTATTCTTCTTCCCACGCGACATCCAAGTAGTGGCTATTGATTGTTAGTTAACGCATGGTGTGACGAATTATGTGTAGCTAGATATTGGGCGCGCATTTCATATATGTGGCGTCCTATCCTAAAGACAAGCCGTTGAGAAGCCCAGCCCTACGTTCGCAAACTTAACTTTAACGGCTGCGAGTTCTAAAATGTCGTAAGCCCCGCTGTTGTTTATGCCGGCTTGGATACGCCGCGGTGTCAATGTTTAGAGGTTATGATGACAAAATTAACACGAGTTGAAGTGTATGTTCCGCTTTACACGTTTTGTTTTGTGATATTAGTTCTGTGAAATAAGTTGATGAAATTTGCTAACGTTTCAGGTGTAACTCTATCGGCTTCACATCAGTCGGAGACATGGGACCCAGAGACGAAGGCTGAGTACTCTCGTAGCACCAACAAGCTGCTCATACGTCAAGCCCTCTTGGGTCCAGATGCCAAGCCTGATGAACTTAATGTTGTTGAGGTATAGTTCTATATCATTGATAAACTGGATACCTTGAAGCTATTCATTAGCCCTTTGAGTACCGTCATTATAGACACAATCAAAGAACAATAGGTTGCGGTCACCGGTATCTTTGTGGTGTTTGACAGTTTAGAATACTTATTTTTATTTCTGCTTCGTTTTTGGTATGTGTAAATAAATTTTCATGATTGCAATTACATTCTGCTACTCTGATTCTGATTCTCTTCTGATTCACAATGTCTGGGTAGCTCCTATGTGCCAGTTTAATTTGCACAGAACATAACTTATCTGTACCTATCTGTACAAGTTTAACAGGTACTGCCGGAAAGGCTACATTTTAGTACACATATCAACTTATGTACATAAAATTATTAATTTATTTAATTAATTCACATCAAATTCCAGTCTGAAGAAAGTAATTTTTAGGTATTTTCAACATTATGATGCATGATTTTGGTTGTGTCCAGGTGGAAACTATGTCACTTCAAGAGTCTGTAAAGATCCCAGTAGCAGTACTGAAAGTGGGGGAGACGAGGCATGCACGTTTGGATATTGAGTTCCCAGATGCCCCAGTCACTTTCACTCTCATCCAGGTAAGCTAGTTAGTTAACTAAGTATTAACATATTAACCAAGTAAGGTTTAACAACTGTAAGTGAATCTTATATATTAAAAAAAATATTGAAATGATGATAAAAACTTTACCATTGGTAATTTGATGGGCGCGCGACGTCGTTTTGACTGTTGCACCGTCTATTTGTGATAGCTTGAGGCATTTGTCTGATCATGTAATAAAGTACTCTCTGTTAGTGAATATGAAGTACATATAACAAAAACTGATGGCTTTTTGATGTGCAGGGATCAGGGCCAGTGCATTTGATTGGCCAGCACCTACTTGGTGCCCTCGTGGAGGAGTTTGAAGACATGGAGGAAATGGAGGAAGAGATGTTGGATGAAGAGGAAGGAGATGATTCTCAATTCAAGGTATATAGCTGTTTTATTCTAAGAAGTACTATAAAAAGTATTGTATTTGCCAGATCGACAAATTATTTTTTTATCTAAAATCAGTTATTTGTTAGTTTGCTAAAATTTACAGGAAGATGAGAATAAAAGGAAAGCATCAGCAGGAAAGCGCAAGACCAATGAGGTACTGAAAACCTTCAACTAATATCAAATTATTGGGTTCTGTTTATGCTCTACAGAGGGAAAAGGACCTGTGACTCAGTGAATAATGACAGTACAACTTAAAGTTTGTTCATAAAATAACAAATATCTAAGTTGTAATCAAAATTCCATACACAATACATGTATTGCTGTCATTTTTTAAATCCTTTGTGTAAATTGGCTGTTGGTTTTCTGTATACTCATATTTTAAAATCTTTACCTTTACCTTCTGGTAGCTGGGTAAAATAAACAAAAATTGGCAAAAAAGGCCAACTCACATCATACAAATTATAAGAAACTTGTATAAATCCATTATGTTGCATCAATTAGCCAGATTTAGGAATGTTGGCCATTATTGCTTTGCTATAAGATTCTTGAATTGTTCTAAATAGGTATAGAATCTTTTAAAAATTTTCATCTAAATTAGGTTAAAAATTTTGAACATGGTGTTCACTCACTTGTGCATGTATGTAGTATGGGGTATAGGTACCTCATGTTTATCACAAAATGTAGGTAATGAATTGTATGTTATTATGTGTATTCAAAATTCTGGAAATTGATATTTGCTTATCATGATGAGAGAAGATTATTTTAAGTTGACAATTTACAAGCCTGTTAATTGTGATAAGCAATATTACGTCACTATTTTAACTTAAAAAATACGATTCTGATATTTAGTCATATAGTTGAAATGTTGTTTCAACACAAAAGACTTATTTCTTGTAATTACATGATGTGATTTCTTTTTAATAAATTCCTATTGAAAAATTGATACAATTCGTATTTGATGGAGAATAATATTACGATTTTCCTTATAGTAACTAATCTTTTAATTTCAGGATGAGGATGATGAAGAAGGTGAGCCCAAAGGTAAAAAAGCGAAAATGTCAAACAATGCTAAAGGCAAGGCCCCATCGCCCAAGAAGAACGCCAAGAAGTGAACCGCCTGCCGCGCCCGCCCCGTTGGCTTGCGCCCGTTCGCTCTTTGATGCGCCGCACGCGTCCGAAATTCGTCAAACAGACCAATTCCATTTAAGACTGACTACAACCTCGATCATTAAACTTTAGGTATATTGTACCTAGTGTAATTATACAAATATTTTGGATTACTTGAGTAGCACAGGCCAGTTGTAGGTAGTGCGGCGTGTTAATGAGCGGAGGGGGCGCAGCTGGCGGCCGGCGTATCTCTTAGTTGTACGTTATAGTGTGGTAAATTCAGTCTAGGTTAGCATTGTATCGACTTGAGCGTGTCTGGATGAGTGCAAGCGTGAGTATTTGTACGTGATAGTTATTTACTGGTCGAGGTATCTGCAAACTTATCGATCCGATCCTGCGTGGTTACCGACGATCGAATGTGATTTCTTCACTTTTTTTTAATTTTTCTAATCTAAATTTCCATTCCTTACTGTGGTATAGTGTTATGGATGTCAAATTTAATATTAAAGTAAGTCTTAAATTCACAGATGTATTTTAAGTTAAGACATTAAGCATAATCAGTGTACTTTTAAGACATTGATCATTTTGTATGGAGTAGCTACCAGTCGACATGTAATTAAATTTGCTAACGATTTCTCATTTCAGAATGAAAACTGATAAGCTATTATAGTTTGTTTGTACATATACATTATAAAAGCGTAAGACGGTAACAATAAATAAAAAGCATTTCTAAACATTTATACTCCTTTTATTTTTGTTTCTATTCAATGTTTATTTAGTAATGCCTGTAATATTCTATTACGTTCTCGCTGTATATCATTAGACTCTTCCACAGCTCGCAACAAACATTCAAACTTATCATTATCTTTTCTGTCCTGCACTTCTTGCATGACTCTCTTGATTTCAGTTAAAGTCATATTGTCTATGGTCGTGCCTTGAATGTTCAGGATATTTTCTGTTCCTGAATGACACTCAAATATTTTTTCAAAGTAAGAATAATATGGCCAATTATTTACTTTTCCTGTTTCCTTCATTTTCTCAGCTAGTCTTATATAAGTTTGTTTCAAATTACGAAACTTTCGGTCACATTCTTCTGAAGATAACCCTATCCTCGAAGCTAACAGTCTCCATACATTCTTCTTTTTCACAAGTGGATTTTTAAATTTTTCTTTGTTGTCTATATAAAAGGTTAATAGTTGCTTGACATAGTCGTCTTCTTGAAACCTGTAATTAAGTTTAGGAAGTCCTCCATCATTGGAGATATTATAACTTACAGGTCCAGTGTATATTGATTCAAAGTCTTTGTAATAGCGCCATTTCGTTATACACCTTCCAGTATTTGCTCTCATTTTTAATCGAATGTAAGTTTGTTTCAAATTGCGAAACTTTTTATCACAATCAGTGGGTCGCTCTCCCACTGAAGCTGCTATCTCCTTCCATAATTCTTTTTTTTGGTATCTTGGATTTTTGAATTTTTCAGCTATTTGCTTGTACTCGTCTATTAATAATCTAGTTTTATTTTTATCCCATGGTCCAGTACTTGGATTATAATTGTAAAATATTCTTTCAAAATAGTTGTGATATTGCCATTTGATTGGTTTCCCTGTTTCTCTACTTCTGTCTTTCCAATTCAAGTATGCTCTTTTTAAATTTTTAAACTTATGATAGCAACTGTATTCTGTTGTCCCTAACTGAGACGCTATCTCTCTCCAAACATCTTTTTGTACAGAATCGGGGTTTCGGAACTTACTCAAATTCTCAATGTAGAGACTCAGCAACCTTCTTACTTTGTGCTCCTCCCAGGGTTCTAAAACAGAAGGTGGAAGCAATTTACATTCTTTAAACACCTCTTCACATGCACCATAATGTACCCATTTGATTTCTTTACCTAGCCTTTTCTTTTTCAAGAGTCTTATGTAGGTTCTTCTGAGGTTTCTATATTTCTTATTACATTCATCCGAACTTGCACCCAATTGTACACTTATTTCATCCCAAAGAGACTTGTCTCTAGTCAAATTTCGAAATCTGTTTTCTAAACACAATGTTAATAGATGTTTTATTTTATTCCTATCCCAAAAGTTATCATCCTCCTTGTTCTGTGTCTCTTGTTTTTCACTACTTTCAGTAATGTGTTCTTGGATAGGTCCTTCACTAATTTGTATGTATTGTCTGTTATCCCCGGTATCCACAACATATCTAGCCTCCTGCCCTGTAACTGATGTAAATAGATAGTGTAATAAACTGTACACATTCTACTTATAAATGTCTCCGCTTAGTATGTGCAGGCTGATATGCAACTAATATTGTGCTTAAGCTGGTTTATTAGTACATACAGTACTTTTAACCCTTATTATAAGTTAAGGCTGAATAGTTCTTACAGATTGTCTTTTTATGAATTTCTAGTCAGCAAGTTGCTAGTTATTGCAGATGCTGACAGTGTAGTATAAAATGAGAATACTTTGATATGAGTTTCATTGGCTTAGAGGCTTAGGCTATTTTCTACAAATTATTATGTAGTGTGTTCATTATTATTTTTGTTTATTGGAATAATTGATTACACAGTATGTGTTTATTGTTTACTGTAAGCATAATTAATACAGACCATAAATTCGAGAAAAATTATGGCGGTGAGCAGAGGCCTCGGGTTAAAAAGCCTGGCACTTACTTAACCGATTCGTTGCGGATGGCACGTTCGTTGATGATGAGATTAAATTTTTAGTGAATAGTTTTAATGGATACCTTCACATGCTAAGGGAAACAAATTTATAACAAAAGGTACCTATGTATTTAAAGAATAATCAACTTACTCTGTGGATTTTGTATAGTGAAGTTATTACTACTGAAAATAACATTACTCTGGTCTTCCCTTAAAACAAACCAATAACTTTGGTTGTGAGAATGGCTAATATCCATTACTGGTGTTTGAAATTTTATAAATAAAATTAGTCAAGCGTATTGTGATGAAACAAGTGGTAGCAAGTATATTTTTTATCTTCAACAATCCACAAAAACAAGGAGATTTTGGCGATTTTGATCAGGACCATTACCATTACCAACCATTACATGACCATAGACTATACAGGGCAATCACACTCACAGAGCATGTAATTATAATTACACTTAGAGCCAATGACAGATTACAAAATCGGATCGTCAAAAGTACATGTAGTCTAGTTAAGTTTTCCCCTTTACTTATTATATTCTTTGGACTATATAAGGAGGCACTAAGTACTGCTAGGTAAATAAAATAAAAGTATTTGACGAATTGTCAACATAAAATCAACACCAAATGACCAAAGAGTACACGTTGTTGCCATATTATTTAAAAATACCGATTTGTTAGATATTTACAATATAAGGAAAGGAAAACAATAAATATGTACAACTTAAGCTACACTGAAACTAATAGAGAACATTAAATAATACTATTATAATTAATTATATATCGATTCAAAATTTGTTTCAGGCAGGCAGTTTAGCCTGCAGACCGCGAATTATCGTATTTTTTTTGCAATTTACAGCTCTACATGGAATACTAAAATGATAAAATATATATATTTGCATTTCACTACCGCGTTCATTCACATTAAACCTATTTTATTACCATTTAGGTAACTAAATTGATTTTAAGAAGAAAAAAGAAGATTATTTCTCAAATGCTACCGTATAACTACGGTAACAATACATAAAACACACTTTATATACTCAAAATACAATCAGTCGAGCTTCACTCCAAATCGTTTCGAAATAAAAAACGATTTTCAAAACAAACTCGATCATTCACAGCTGATGACATTCAACACGTACTTTCTTGGAGTGCTGCCATCGTTTTAATGTTAGTTCCTTAAACATTGGTTTTCATTTTAAAGCATATAATCAACTAAATACAATTTATTTTTTTGGTTAAATGAAAATACCTAGAATAAATGAAAATCCATAGAGAAAATTCGGTGATAACCATAGATATATTTCTTAGAAAGAAACCAGTCCAAAACTGGCAACTTTTATATTATGAATGGACGCCATTAATTCAATTTTTTTCAGTTTACTGTTCTTGTGTGTGTACTATTTCAATGTGAAAAAGAGACGATTGTGTAGTTCTGATTTGCATTTTTTCTACTGTGACATTATTATTGGTATCTATGTAAAGTTTAAAATAGTAAATTACAGTACCTTAGCTTTATACAGATTATGTGTTTAAATTTTGAATTTTTTGATGAATTGAAAGTTTGACGTGAGTATAACTTTAATTTTCACGATCTGTCAGCGTCGTTATTATTAAATCCTAAATTGTCTTATTCGTATTTAAACCTCGATACTAGACACCATATTTAAAAGAAGGTGTATGTAGTTATTGAGATATTTCGATTGTTAATTAATTGCAATGAATTTACTGTTATACGAATAAGGTTATGGTACCGATGATGCTTTGGCGGGAAACTGCTTTGGCTGTTTGTTTTCCTTTAAGTACCGAATGGTTGATGTTGTCAAAGCTTATATTTTTATTTGTATACTTTTCTGTTTATCAATTAGTCCCAATTACGTTTAAAACGTGTCTTTATGGAAAACATTGTTGACGTGACAAATTCGTATTATTTCGTATACAAGTTTCTATTATTTGTAAATCAATTGTGATGCATCGTAGAACTTGATGTTTACATTCGTCAAATAGGGGAGTAGACTAGTATTGGTTGTCTCAAAACATTGGATTAGTAACAAGTATGTTTACGTGATGCTGTAGAGCGATGTCAGGGGGACAACTAGTGGTGTTGGACCGGGCCGGGCGCGATGTGAAGCGGTTCCCTCTGTTGGAGGGGCTGGCTACGCTGGGCAGCGACCCTGCTTGCGACATCCGCATCATGCTGCCCACTGTCAGCCCGCACCATGCTACTGTAGTGGTCCATGCTAACCAGGTAACATCTCGTTTATACCTATATCTAATCTTCTGGGCTTATGTACTGACATTACTACATTCGTAAGTTTTATGTTAAATGTCTACCCACATACAAGGTTTGGGAAGTCTCTTATGAATACTTATTAATAACTAGCTACTTCCGTGCAGCTTCTAATAATTGTAGCGATTTAGCAAGTGATGTTAGCAATAGTAAATTTATAATTGGACTATCCAATACAAAACAGTTTTTCAATTCGGACCAGTAGTTTCTGAGTTAAGCGTACTGAAACAAACAAACTCTTCAGATTTTATTTATAATAGTGTAGTATAAGATATTCTATGGCTGGTAGTAGCCCTTAAATTTACTGCCTCATTGGCCGAGTGGTCACAAGTGCGACTGCCGGGCAAGGGGTCTTGGGTTTGATTCCCGGGTCGGGCAAAGTATTACTGGGTTTTTAAAAATCCCAGTAGTAGCACGGAGTCTGGAATAGTGCCCGGTATATGGCAATAGGCTCACCCCCTATTACATGGGACTCATAACATAAATCGTGAAAGTGGGTGTTACATTGTGCAGTGGCATTAAGTGCCGTATTGTGCACCTCTGCCTACCCCTTCGGGGAAGACAGGCGTGATGTTATGTTTTAATATTTAGTTTATAAATGTTATTAGGAAATTGATTTTGCTCTGTCTGATGATGAGGATAATATTTAGTGTCCGACCGAAGGTGTATTTTTGGCCAAAGCCGAAGCCGTTTAATCGGCTATCGCCACGACCTTCGGCCGAAGCCGAAGCCGAAGGTTTATATTTTCTCAGCACTCAGTCAATTATTTTGTTCAATATTGTCTACAAGCTACAATTAATATTAAAATTATTTCAAAACCTCAATATTGAAGGTTTATATTGACTGTCTTATAAAGAAGTTTATGATACATCAAAGAGATGGTTGGTTCAGAGATTGCAATGTGATATTTTGACAGTGACTCCCCGCCGCCTCATGACATTTGTAACAGTTCGTTCAATCGTTCGTTTAACCTCGGCAGTCGCTCGGACCTTCGGCGAAACCTTCGGCTTCGGCCGGGCTTTGGGCCGAAGCCGAATGTTTTGCCGAAGGTGGACTTTTTGGCCGAAGGTGGCCGAAGCCGAAGCCGAAGCTTCGGTTGGACACTAATAATATTGAATAATGTATCTAATGTTTAATTGCATTCTTTATTACTACCATTTATCTCTAATTTCTGTCTGGATTATAAATAATTGTTAATGTTTACTAGTTGTTGAATATCATGTTGTGTGCACATACTTGTGGAAGCATGGCTTGCCATTTACCGTTTTATGTTGTTACTCTGTTGTGTATTGCGCTGTCTTTCTGTTTTGTATGCCTATTGAATAAAAAATATAATTATTTTAAAAAGAGGAAAAATTTGTATGCCAATATGATTGTATTTAATGAATTGGCTCAAATAGCTGGACCAATTTTAAATATTCAGTAAATAAAAATGTGTTTCCATTGATAAATATAGGCTAATTAAAATACTATTGAGTTAGAAGCTAGGAGTTCTAATAAAAGATTGTATTCTTGTAAATAAATCTTTACTTTTGCAACAACAACTAGCCAGTGTTACATTTTATTAATTCAATAAATACAAGATAAAACAATGTTTGAAAAATAAACGTCTACCATGAAGTAGTTGAAGTATAATGATTATTAGGGTAAGTTAAGTCAGTAGTGGTCTGTGCGTGCAGACGGTGATCCGCAACGTGTGCGGCGAGCCCACGCTGGTCAACGACGAGCCCGTGTCCGTCGCCGCGCTGCGACACCGCGACCGCATCGCCATCGGCGGCCGCACGCTGCGCTGGGACTACGCCCAGCCCGCGCGGAGGCCTCCGCTACCTGGTACACTCATACTCACACCCTTCTTACCCAACTATTTCAAGGCGGGCACACATACACATTACCATCACCAACCATGGAAAATCATGTCAACATGTGAAATTGCATAATGTAACTAACAAGGCTTTGTACCCGAATGTTATGTTTTTGAGAGGATAGAGAAACATTGAGAACATTGCTTGTACCGTGTGTAGCGCTGGCGACGTGGAAACGACGCAGCCGCGGCGGGCGAGTGGGGGCCCGCGGGGCCCGGGGCGGGGCCCGGCCGCGCGGCCCGCGCCGTGCCTCGGGGCCCGGGCCCGCGCCCGCCAGGGACCCGGCACTGCGCCTCGCCATCGAGATGTCGCACAGAGCCTCTATGCCCGGTACGTACACCTTCGTTCCGACATCTTTTTCCCTTTTTTAGTTTCATAATATTTTTTGTTTATTAGTTTAATCTTATTTAACAGGTAACGCTGGCGGTAAACAAGTAGCTATAGTGCAGCCTCAGAGACGAGATACGAGTGATCAAATTGGTAAGAATTTGATATCAAACGCGTAATGTTAGATATTAAGTGCGTGCTGCTAAGTATGGTTGTCGAGTTACACAATTGTTTGTTCTAGACAACAACCCGTCGCGGTCGCCGCTGCCAAGTAACAAGCGTCCCAGATCTTCTAAAAGTGATACAGACACATCACTCAACGATGCAGAGGCCGACAAGACTGTACGCAAGTCTAGTGCACGAGCCAGTCTCAAAAGTCCAGTGTCCAATTTGCAGAATACTACAAAGGCAACGCTGTGGATCGAATCCCGCAAGCCTAGCGCCAGGAAGACTACTCCTAAGCAGGCCAGTCCTAGGCAGACTACACCTAGGCAGGCAGTACTCAGGCAGTCGACCCTTAGACAAGCTACTCCCAGACAGGCGACCCCCAGACAGGCATCTCCTAGGCAAGTGACCTCCAGACAGGCAACACCTAGGCAGACGACCCCCAAACAAGTGACCCCCAGAAAAGCGGGCAAGGCGGCGAGCACTGGCAAGAAGAGTACTCCACTGCGCCTCACCGTCCTGCGCCGGGCTCAGAGCGCCCACAAGCACTCCGTGGACAAAATCGAAGCGCCGCGTGTCGTGGGTGAGTACATTCACGTCTTTGTCTCTCTTAACAAAAACACGGGTACACATCGATTCTAGATTTTATAACCCACGTACACTTGCAAATTTCGGCGGTGTCCTTAAATTCAATGAAGTCGGTAAATATGTATATCGGCGCGATAACTCCCACTTTAGCGCCTTACTAACTGCGGCGGCGTCATTCATTATCATACATTCGCGCCGAGAATCGGTCGCAAGCGCATACCGATTTACATAATATTACGTAATCAAACATCAGCGGCGGTGCAGTCTCGCCGCCGTCCCATTGCTCGCCGAGACCGAGCAGTGGCTCGGCGCCGCTAACGAGGCGTGTGTTGCAGACGCGACGAAGCAGGCCGCGCTGCGCCTCATGACGCGCCAGGCCGCGCGGCCCCCGCTGTCCCCGCTGTCCCCGCTGTCCCCGCTGTCGCCCGCCGCGCCGCGCTCCCCGGTGAGTACTGGCTAGCCACGTGCTCCTTCTCAATTGTTCCCCAGAATTCAACTGTGCATAACTATTAGACAGTTCGATGATACAGTCTATTCATTGTAATATATTTTATAGCTCAATATTAAAGTGAACAATAAAGGTAAGGTGTGCTCTTGTCCAGCGCGCTTGTATGACTAGGTGCATGAATGTGATAAAAGCTAAGGAAGTATGTCAGGATCGTACTAGGTGGCGCTCAACAGCACATAGCTTTCCAATTGAACTCGTAGTTACACAATAAATCAATCTGTTCTGCTTACCCCTTTGAGGAGCAAGATGTACTATATTGTTATGCACAATTTTTTATTATCTTTGGTTTACTTTACTGTACTGTGCTATGACATGACCGAATATAGAAACATTACGCCATCGTATTTAATTAACAACAAATAATTTAATATATAAACATACAGCTTACAACGTTTGTTTGTGTACTGTTAATAATATTCGACATGTATTTTTCTTTTTTCATTGAATCATAAATTCGTGACACCGTCTCTACATTGTTTTCAAATGATGTCACTTTTATGTACAGAGACAGAGTATACATTAAAGTAATTTAGTAGTGTTGTAGCTTTTTCTCATTCCGACAAATATCAATTTATTCATTATGTAAAGGCTGACTTTAATATATGACATTATATGTGATATTGAGTAGTTTTGCAAAGAGTTTTTATATTTTTTTTCAGGCTACCATTATAGAATTAACAGATTCAGAAGGAAGAAATTCATCACTGCGGGCAAGTAACGTATCCCGGCGATCGGGAAAGAGTCCCAAGAAGTCGCCTGCCGCCGTCAGCCCGAGGAAATCCGCACTTAAAGATCCTTCAGCGAAACGAGGAACACGAAAAACCGAATCGATAAAGTTCGACCTGAGTAACTTGGAGAACCATTCTGAGGACACGCAGGACGTCATGATGGTCAGCGACCTCAGCTCCCAGTCAGCTCACAGCGCCTCCTCCTCCCTCGCACTGCACTACTCCCCCACATCCCCCGCGTCCCCCCTGTCCCCCGCCGCCCGGCCCGCATCGCGCGGGGCCCGCCTGGTGCAGCGCGCCCTTCAGCCCCACAGCCCGCGCTCGCCGCGCCCCGGCCTCGAGTCCTACTCCATCGTTGACTTAGTCTCCATTGATTCTAACGAGTCTGCCCGAACCTCTTCAGTGTATGGCTCCCCGGCATCTACAGACGTGACGACTTTTGAGACTCCACAAAATAGTACCGGGAGGAGAACGAGATCGACTATAGACCCGACGCTGCTCGGCTCCAGCACCCCTTACGTGAAAGGCAGGCCGTCCACCGCCAAGTCTCGCTCGATAGTGAGTGTCGATATATCGAGCCGACCTTCCATGACTACACAGTCGACCCTCAGGAGTTCAAGATCAAGACGATCCAAGTCGTTGTCGACCCCGGAGAACTCGGAGGAGGCCAAGAAACACATCTCCGTGAACAGCACGCGCATATCTCGCGCCGCGCGCAGCCGGTCCCGCCTGCACGACCCCGCCAGCCCCGCCAGCCGCGCCAGCCCCGCCAGCCGCGCCAGTACCCTCCGTGCAGACAGTACAGTGTCCCCGCGCACGTCGCGCGCCTCGCGCTCCGTCCGCAGCCCCGCGCTCGACGGAGGACTGTCCACTCCGGAGAATGTACACAGCCCCGAAGAAGCCAGCACGCCAGTTCTTAGTATACAGAGCCTATTGGATTCCAGCACTTCTATCATTGCACATAAACCTACGAGAAAAAGTAGACCTTCATTCAATACTAAAAGAAAAACTATTGGAGGAGTTCCATCCAGAACTAGAACTAGAACAGATGCCATATTTAAGTCTTTGAGTTTTAACACAGGAAAAGCTAGACTGAGTGACGATTCCGTGGAGATATTGAACAACAGGATGAAAGTGAAATAGTGACGCCGAAGAGTGCCGTCAAGTTAGTACAAGAAGCCGTAAAGAACAAGCACTCGACAGCCAAAAAGCCACAGTCTAAGCGTTCGATAATAGACGATTTGAACGAGTCCGATATTGTGAAGCAACTGTTCAACAGTCCCGTGAAACGCAAGCTATCGCAGAGCATGACGGAGTTCTCCAGGAAACAGTTGTTTGAGGAGGACGAGTCGTCCCAGGCCCGGCGGCCCGCGCGGAACACCGTGGCGCTCACTGGGCGCACGCCCGACCACTCTCTGCTTGACCACACCGACTCCTACACGCCAGAAATATTCGTCAGCCCCATTAGCACTCCCACTCGAAGTCCTAGTTTAGAGGGCATCAAACTTATGTTCGCCAAAACTACTCCCGAAAACGATTTACGAAATGTGAAAGGAGTGAAAGCTCTACTGCGCACACCGCGCACCAGGAGATCTATCAAGAATGACCTGAGAAATGTATCGGGTGTTAAGAATGTATTTGCCAAGAGTCCTAAAAACCGACTTAGTGATGTCAGAGTCAAAGAAATATTTGCATCTTCGCCTAAAAACGATTTGCGTCGCGTGACCGGAGTGAAATCCCTGTTCCAAACCGCTGAGAAAAGAAGGTCGCCTAGAAACGAGTTAGACGATGTGGTAGGCGTGAAACGGTTATTTAAAAAGACTAGTCCGGCGAATGACCTCCGGAACGTGTCTGGAGTTCGCAGAACTCTCCGTAGAAATAGTCCGAGGAATGAGTTCGAGAACCTGCATGGCGTGAAGCGAATGTTTGCGAGAGACGCTAGGGACGACTTGAACGACGTCAGTGGGGTTGAAGAGTTATTTAATTTGTCTAACTTTTCTGTGTCCACCAGAGCCGAGAGTTTGTTTGATCAGTTAGTAGGAAAGCCTCAGATGAAGGCTGTGTATTCTAAAACATTTTCTAAGAAAACCCCTGTTAAGACAAAAACTTACAAATCGAAGTCATTGCACGCTTCCCTGGAGCAAGTACCCAGTACTGACGACTGGCTACAACAAGAGCTCAATAAACGACACCAAGTAAACACCTATCTCCAGTCTCTAAACAACTCCGCTAATAAATCTAAGACAAGAAAATCAAAGTCGACGATACACACGTCTTTAGACCAAGTCACAAATGTCGATGTGTTGCTAGATCAAGAGTTAAACAAGGAGCAACAGATCAATAATTATTTGGAATCCATTAGATCAGCTGATAACTCTCAGGTCAACAAATCTAAAAGGAATCAGTCCGCAGCCTCCGACAAGGCTCATGCGGCGACGACGAACATGACCCGAGAACTGCAGAAGTTGGTGACAGAAACGGTCGAGGGCCTCACGCCGACCTGCCCGGCGCGGACCAGGAACAGCAGCCTCGCGGCCGGAGACAGCTCGCGGCGCAAGAAGTCGGCGTCGCAGCTCTACAGCGCGCACAAACTGCCCCTCAAGAAGAGGTCGCTGGCGGACGCGGCCGCGCTGGCCCTGCCGCTCAAGAAGCGCGGCGTGCAGCACTCCACGCCGCTGAAGGGCCGCGCGCCCACCGCGCCGCGCGCGCCCCACTCCCCCATCGCGCCCGCCGCGCCCGCCGCGCCCGCCTCGCCACGCAGGTGAGCATTGACCTGGCTCTAGCCTACAATCACTTCTAGCACTCCCTTAAGGCCGACGGTACTGCCGGTATGGCTCGCAATGTTATGTCGCGGCATTACCGCTGTACCATATTTCTACTGGCTTAGCAAGCATAATTCCTACACACAACCGTGACCCGATACGGACGAACAACGTACGAAAGTAACATAAACTCAACTGATGGAAAAAGGAACCTGATTAGTAGTAAAATTCTATGCCATGCCGTACTGTGCCAGCATTGAACGCCAGTCCTTATATTCATCTTGTGAGTTGTCTGCCAGTCACTCACGAATTCGTTAATTTAAAATAATATAATACATAACCTAACCATGTATTCTGAAGTTTGCTACCTGTTATTTATCATTTCTCAAACCTACCAAATGACAGGGCAAATTGATTTCAAGAAAATCTCTTAGAAACAGGGTACTATATAGATTTATTTTTGTTAGGTCCTATGCACACCACGGTTTTTAAACGCACCGTCGACGCGCGTTCGTAGCGATACAGACGCGATACGCAAGTCAGACGCAGCCTGTAGACCTTTGCACACTTGTATAAATGCAGACCGCGTGTGTAGCGAAACAGACGCGATGCAAACGCGGATGTGTATCGACACAAACGCGCTGGCATTTTGCGTTTTTAAGCAGAACCTCGTCAACAGTAGTAAGATGGCGTTTTCTGTGTCGAAAGGCTGTATTGTTTTGTTCCAAAGACGTGCGGTGCACCAAATCTCTCGATTGCTACTAGCGTATATTCACACTTCTCTTTCCCTCGTTACGGGGGAAACCCCGTCCGTAGGGAAGGCGCCCGCGCTAGACGTGCTAGTGCCGCGCGTTTGTGTCGATACAAACTACAACAAACTGCTCTGCAGGATAAAAACGCGCTGGCGACGCACGTTCTCAAAACGCGCGTCGCCGGCGCGTTTAAAAAACGTGGTGTGCATAGGCCCTTATAGCTTTTCAATGTTCCTATTGTTTTTCAAATTAGAACCAATTTCGTGTCACTTTTTATTTTTAAAATGTTTTCAGGTCTACTAAGTCAAAAGAAACTGTAGAAGTGTCATCAAATAACGCAAAAGAAACAAAAGCTCAACGCGATACTGAAATAGTCAGAGAAAATGTTAAACCATCACCGAGGAAGACTCGTGGCAGAGGGAAAGTAGCGTCTTCTAAAGCTAAACCTAAGGCAAGTCCCGCTAGAAAGAAAGCAGCCACTACAGTTGACAAACCTCGTCCTGGTTCGGCCAAAGAAGAAAATTCACCTACAGTTAGTCCTATAAGAAAAACTAGACAAACTAGAGCTAAACAAGCTAGTCCAGTCAAAACATTACTCTCTCCTGAGCCAACGGCACGTTCGCGTAAAAAAGATGTTTCGACCAAAGAGACTAATACAAAGCCGCGTGCTCCGAGGTTAACTGTTGCAAAGAAATCATTAGTTAAAAGCCCACCGGCGAGTCAGAGGGCGTCGAGAAAACGAAAAGAACCAGAAACTTCTTCAACACCTAAGCCTAGTCCTAAGAAAACGCGAGCTGCACGCAACAACGCTTCTATTAAAGATGTTAAGCCGAAGACACCAAAGAGTACAAGGGCTAAAGTTCAAAAGGCATCTGTTGTAGTTAGCAAACCATCGCCATCTTTGAAACCACGACCAGTACTTAGTGAGCAAGATACTACAAGGAGGTCGCGGAGAACTGGGACAGTCCAGCCTCCACTAGAATCTCATAAGAAATCTCAAGCATCTAGTAAAACGCGAGTTGAAACAACACCAAATAAACCCACACGAAGAAATACTACGAACAAAACAAAAGACAAGAATGTGGTTGACAAACCTGACGTTAAAAGTAAGACCAGTGAACCGACGCCTCGGAAGACTAGAAATAACAAACAAGAAAAGTCTAACGAACAACCTAAAACTGTGAGAGGTCGTGGCAAGAAAGTGTTGTCGCAAGAGAGCGGACAATCGGAAACTAAAAGCCGAGGGCGACGGACTACTAAACCCGAGCCCGAGCCAGTCGTACAGGAAGTTAAAACTCGCAAACGAAAGACAACACCACCAGACAATGACATTCCGCCTAAAGTAAGGAAATCTAAAGCAAGTGACATCGACACTGGAAGGTCACGGAAGAAGACCGCAACGTCGCCAGCAAGTACAGAGAAGGCGGCCGGCACGCTCGGGGCAGGAAGGCGGCAGCGCCACCCGCGGCGCCGGGGCTCAGCACGCGCCGCAGAAAGGTACAGTTTACACATTTATCATTTATTTATTTTCCCCTGTAATACTTTACTTTTTGATATAATATTCTTTATGTAGTAAGATGCTTAACTCTTATTTATAGGCGAATCAGGAGAACATTCCAGATAATCAGATAACTGGAAAACGTAAGACCGACAGCCGCGGAGTCTTTGCCTTCAGAAAGTGAGTAATGTTATGTATTAAGTAATTCATTAATGTCACTTTCTGTTTGATGGAAATAGTTTAAAAATGAAGACGAAGTTAGTAACATGAAATTGTTTGTTGACAGGCAAACCTGCAGGCCGCAGCCGTCGGAGATAGCGCGCGACGCGACGGAGCAGTCACTCAAGTACAAATAGTTAACATAGAAACGGTAACAACATATTTATTGACTAAAATAATAAATTGTTCATGAGTTCCTTGTTCGACATAGACATACTAACAATAAGTTGTTTGTTGCAGGTGCATGGAGGCACTGTACGATATATTTTATGAAAATGTTTTATGAAGAGTTTGGAACTTAAAATATTTTTGTGACACATTATCATTGTGTTCTAGTTAATTTCATCAGCTGCGTGGCACTATGTTAATTCTAAATATCAAGTGAAGTACATGTACGGATGTCGTGCTAACTGTACTGTGCACGTTATAGCGTGCAATATTGTCTATAACATTGCCTCAAACATAATATGTATGTAATATTTGTAATCTGGTTATTTATGTGTATTCAAGTTGCTGTGAACATTTTGGATAGATCGACAATACAAATTATAAATATTTTTATTAATTTACATACCTAGATACTACTAAGAATCAACATTTAATGCTGATAGTGATCATGAATAAGCCAATCTAAATCCGTTGCGATGATCTAGCGACCGAACGATGTAGGTTTGTAGAGATATTGAAATTAAGTTTGCTGTAGTCTAAATGGTACTACGTTGGAGTGTTTATGGAATTGATTAGGGGCCCTTTTCCTGATTCGCACACTTCGGCGGCTCGTTGCAGAGACGTGAACGTCATCGAAAGAAAAAGTCGACCCCCAGCTTGCACAAACTTCGTGCGGATGAAACATTTATACGTGCGGTGATTATGAGTGATAGTCTTAGATTATGTTGTGATAGTCTGGTAAATATCTGCGGCACACAGCCACCAATTTGTACGACAGGAAAGAGCTCTACTATTAGTTAGTACATAATATTGTTGTAGTGCTGATCCCGTGGTATTCCATGTTCAGTACAAGTTTAAATAAGCACAAATGCCTCCAACGAATCATGTCTACGATTGATTTCTTTTTATCAAATATTTGAAAACTTTGTATGAGGTTTGTTGTGTGGAAATATTAATTATAATATAGTTTCTTAATGTATGTGTTGTGTTCATTTATCACAGGATGATACTTTGAATAAAACTTACAATGTTCATGTTCAGATGTCTCTTGTGCTAAATGAATACAATTTAGGATTTTAGCTTTATTGATTTATTTTATATTTCTCTTAATTGGCTAAGATTTTATTTTTATCTTATTTCGACTATACGTTGGCTAGGTGGGGAGTGGGTCTTGATGAGTAAGATAAAAAAATGTTTTGGGTACATATAAGATATATTTATTATAACAATTTATACAATTCAAGCATTCCTAGGTTATCTAAAATTTACAGAAATATACACCTTTACAAATGTCGACAAATTGGTTACCCGTCAACGAGTTAAGAGAGTAATTACTTTACGGTATTTTGTCACGTTTAATAACATATACAATAACACATATTGTAACACCCAGTTCCCACTTAGCTACATTATTCTTTACTTTCGAAGCACTAAAAAGATTTGAAGACTTACAATTCACTAAAACATGGTAATGATGTAACAAAGTAATATACCGGGAGCAAAGTAATTTATATTGTAAACGATATTATTATATAATTTAATATTGCACTCGGAACTTTCGAGAATAGGAATCGATATTTTATTTAAATATTGTTACATCGAATAATAAATAAATAAAGGAATGAATTACGAGGAGTCTGTTTTATTGGGCGCCTTGAACTTGACGGGGTTGGAGACGCGGAATATGTTGGGCGTGAGCGCGGCGAGCGGAGCGAACAGGGCGGGCGCCACGTTGGCGGGCAGCGCCGCCGTCAGCGTGCGCAGCTCGGCGCCGCCCCAGCCCGCCGCCTCCAGCATGAACCCCTTCACGCACTTCAGCACCAGCTCCGCGCGCCGCACGCACCATGCCGCCGTCATCTCCTGCAGACGGGTACACCCATGTGTCTGGATTACGGGGTGAGCCTATGGCCATGTACCGGGTACACTTCCAGGCTCCGTATACTACTGAGATATTTTGAGAAAAACCAAGAAAAACCAAGAAACTGTGCTTGACCCCAGAAATCAATGGCTCGAACCCTTGCCTGCAAGTCGCACAACCCATATATCCCCAAGCGGTCACCGGTGATCGCTCTCTACTAACTACATTATAGACCTTATTTATAATGTTTAGAGACTACTTTTGTATGAACAAATTTAGGGGATGATTTTCAACGGGCTGTTTGCGACTATTCGACCAACGAGGTCCATTCAATTCTATCCATTTTCAACGGTTCCCCACTAGGATCTTCTGTGTCGTGGATGCATTTATAAACAGACCATTTCACATACACACGACATCGACACCCAGACCCAAAACAACAATTTATGGAACACTCTTACAAGTTATAATAGGTAGTTAGATTTTATGTTTAAGTGTTAACTCACGTAACTGGCGAGTAAACTCGATCAGTTTCAAGCTTCGGTGGGGGCTCGCATTCATAGATTATATTGCGTGTGTTACCCAGACCAGATGTCGTCGAAAATGGTCATTTGAATCTTATAGATAATTAGTTGTGCGGCTTCTGTAATTTGTACCTATTGTAACTTTCGTGAGACATACTAAGGCAGAGGCAGAAGGCGCGCTGGGCCCGCAGACTCGAGTAGCCAGTAGGCAGTAGCAGCGCGACAGTCGCCCCGTCGCGGGTCGCGAAATGCTGCTCATGAATATGAGCCTCTAGCATGGCTTGAAACTAGTTGAGTTTCTCGTCAAATTATTACGTGAGTAATGCTTCTGTAATTGTTGCGCGCATTTAAATTTGTGCGCTTATAGTTTTTTAATAATTTCACAAAAACATTTTCTGCTTGGGTAACGTTACCCCAGCCAGACCTTTTTCTTTCTAATGGGAATATTTAAATAATTACTAGCTATGAAATTAGTTGTCTTACTCTAGATGAAGTAAATGTTGTGCCTTATTTTGTATTTGTTCTTTCATCGGTTGCGAAGTTATTCGAGATTCTGCTGGGGTAACGTTTTTGCTTTTGCTAGATCTTTGAAATGGTTAAGCGAATTCTTATCATATTTTGTACATGGCTTCTTAGAAATTAGTTTAAATTTGTTCTGCAATAAAACAACCAAAATAATACATAGCTCAAAGGTTATTTAAAACACTTCAATTGGTCCCAGCACTCTCAATAAGAACTCTATAGACTTACTTTAAACGTTATTTTAAAGCTTGTAAGTGCCTTCAAATGTATGTGAAGTTTCATTAGTATCCTGTAAGTATTGAACAAGTTATGATGATATTAGTCCAAGAGCCAGTGAACCCTGGGAATAACGGTCTCCCTGTAAGGTTAGAAATTTGTATACTTACGATTTATGGTATTCTAAGAGCAATAGCCATGACCTGGCAGGAGTCAGCCCTGCACGTCATCAGCCTAAAAAGCCTGTTTCTGTAAATTATTTTTTTATTTTTTTTATATATATTATATTATATATATTATATTATATATATATATATATATATATTATATATATATAAATTAAATTAAAAAAAAATTAAACTAATTTTTTAAGATGTACAATAAATAAACTTCCTATTAAATTTACAAATTTACAGAAACAAGTTTTTAAACCCAATTTACTTAACAGTTCAAAAAATAAAGGGGCTGATGACGTGCAGGGCTGACTCCTGCCAGGTCATGGCTATTGCTCTTAGAATACCATAAATCGTAAGTATACAAATTTCTAACCTTACAGGGAGACCGTTACTCCCAGGGTTCACTGGCTCTCCAGCTATATTGAGTTCTTCACGAGCACGGTCTTGATGCGCCCGGTGTTATTTAGCCACTGGATTGGATATATGAACTGAATGTTATGTTAATAATTAGTTGTTTGGTTCAGTTGTAATCAGAGTACATTGGATGATATGAGATAATACGATTAAAGTCATTAGGAACTGAATGACCGTGGTTATGGACCGCGGAACGAAGTATTTTTCTTTCGCTACTACGCTCACCTAAAGATAAGGCTCCGCTAGCTGTGCCCGGGGTGTACATAATACCGTGCAACTATGGCTCGAGTTCGGGGAAACTACTATACTTCATTTCGCGAAAAGTGCGAGAAGTCATCGAGATTAGCCGACGTCTGTGCTTCAACAGGGATGGTGGCTGGGCACTGGCACCCGCGTGGAAGCCGAGCTTGGAGTCCACGTCGATCCACAGCGTCTCCAGTCTGGAGTGTGACACAGCAAGCGTTATATGCAACAGTGACTTTGTACCGAACCCGGAATCGAACCCACTACCCGCGCCGTTGGCGAACGTACCGTGCGCTTTAAACATCGTGCAACGCGCCGCCGGAGTTGGAAGCAAACGCCCGTAGTGCCCGATAGAGAGGGGAGTGGGGGCGGGTAACGTTACACACGGAGTCAATAATCCAAAGATTTATCTCGAGATAGACATTGTTGGTAAAGAATAAAATAATAGGTATCTTTTTTTTTTTAAATATTTATAAGTTTTACAAATATTTTATTAATAGCTTCTTAGGTACAAAATCATAAAAACAATAATTAACTCAGTTTAAGAAATATTTAACCATAGATAAAAGTTGTATTCATCACTAATATCCATATCGCTTGAATCATCATCACTGTCTGTGTAGCTTGAGGAGTCAGAATCTTGCAAATTAATAATAAATCGGTCCATCTCTTCATCAACGATACGATCGTGGAGACAATATTCATTATGGTATGGAGGCAGTCGTAAGACATCATGACCTGCCGCCTTTAAAATTTCATCTATTTTGTAAATATTTTCTGTTGCGTTTTGTTTAATTAAATTCAATAAATCACATTTTCTTAAAGACGTATCAAATTCAACATTGTCTTTGCAGCCAGGTCTGCATGATGGCTTTTGTGGATTTTAGGCTTTTTGTCCTCTTGTACCGAGTGGTATGCGACATTATCCATAACAATAACTGACCTTGGCGGTAAATTTGGCAATAGCTTTTCTCTAGTCCATTGGCTTTGCTTGCGTTTACAAAATTCATATCGCTATGATAATCTCCGGATTTGCTTTTGGATTTAAAAATTAAAAGAGCTCCATTGATAAATCCGGCTTGTCCACCAGCAGTACAATAATTAAACGTGGCCCTTTGTCAATATGCGACAGCACCCCTCGTTCTTCATTGGATTGCCAACACGCCGGTATATTTAACCTTTTGAGCGCCAGGGTCACAAATACGTGACAAGCGAAAACTGTCCCTGAGCGCCAACGACACAAATATGTGACAAAAACAGCGGTACATTAAAACACGAAATAAACTATTTAAACATTACTTTAATGCCTATTTATTTATATACCTGTAAAATAGAAGGTCCAAAATTTATTTATTTCCATAAAACTAATTAAATTGCATTATAAATATTGAGAAATTTTACGTTAAAAAGAAAGAAATAAACTCTGAAAAAAGAATGTCCTCACACGCCAGAGTCATAACTGCGTGACCGCTAGTGATGTAGCGCATGTTGGATAATATCATTATTTCAAATCAAAGATCGATTCGAAACTTTCCTCTGGAATATATTATTTTAGGTATAATTTGGTACTAGGATAAAGCAGCATTAATTTTATAAAACCAGTCTTAAAAATCATTCAATAAGCTACATAGTCAAAAATAAAATTTGGTTGGGTCGAATTTCGATATTCACTAATCCCAACTCAAGCGCATCCCTAACGCAACCCGAATTATCAGTACCCTGTACGCCATGGTCACGACTAGACGACAATATCGTGACGTCACAAGCGAGGCGACCAGAAATTAGTGAAGTGAATGAATAATATTTATGATTAATTTACTTGTGATATTGAGTTCAAGATTTATATTAAGTGACTATTATAATGAGTGGGAATTTAATGACTACGGAAGAACTTCGTGGAATAAAGTCTGCCAAAAGTTCCTTTTTTAGCCACGGTGCGCGCTGAGATCGATTTCACTGTCCCCACCACCCACTTTGCACCCAGCGAATTAGATGATCAGAATGCAGGTTGCATTGTAGATTTTGTATAATTTTGTTCTATTATTCAAAAGATTTATTAGTATAAGACTGATTGGTAATTGTGATAATTATATATAATCGTAAATTGTTTTAATTTGTTACTTTTTATGCCAGGTTTATAGAACTTAATATTTAAAAACATGTATACATAGTACATACTGTATAACATTTTATTAAAATTTTCTATTTTTTCATAGTTCTTATTTACCTTCTTAACCTATTTCAATCATATATTTTAAAGTAACTGTTACATTCGGAATTATAAATCTGATTTAAAAAACGTGTTTCATTTATTATAAAATAATATTGTACTAGAACATCGATAAACGAGATATTACGTTGCCACATCCTTATTTCGGTAGCGAAGTAGTTATTAAAATGGCGGGCCGACCACGCCATGGTCACAATATGAAGACAGCAGATCAAGAATAGTGTTGTACCTACAGTCATTATATTTAAATATATTGTAGTCTCATATCTGTTATTACGGTATTATACAAGTCTGTAAATAGTGTATAACTATTACTTTAATAGGAAGAAATGTAATGTTGAATTAAATTTCAATGTTATAAGGACATTATATTTCGAAATTAAAGACGAAAATGAAAATAAAATTGATTATCGATGAAGTTTTGGAATCCCTATTTTTTTCGTAGGTATTTGCGGTGAATTTGTGGCCTGGCGTTGAGGGCAAGTTCATGCGTTTTTGCTCTGGCGTTCAAAAGGTTAATGACGTATTGACAATTATGTTTCATCGAGGTAAACAATGTTTCTTTTCCGTGCTTCTTTATCGCATTAAGATAACGCCACCGCCACGATACGATGTTTGGTTGTTCAATTAGTAATTTTCTTTTTGATTGAAATTTCTTAAATCGAATGCCAAGTTTATGAATCAATGTTCTCAAATATTCTCGGCCACTATTTAAAATACCTTCTTCTCTGAGTTTCGCATTCAAAATTTTTAATTTAGGAACCTTCTTATAAACCGTATAAAATTGAGTTATTTTTCTTCTAACAACGCCCTCTGTAAAACTGTCATCTTCAACTTTTTTCTTTCGGACCTGTTATTTTTTTTTTGGTGATTTAAAATTTAAATTATTTTTTTCATCTATTAGTTCATATCCTTCTATTATTATTTTACATATTGTAGTTACCGAGAGTCCTGTAGCTTTAGCAACAAGTTTGTTTAGGTTTACGTCTTCAATATACTCTGTAGAATTATGATATTGTTTTCTGGCTTTCAAAAAGGAATATACATTGTATGCTATTAGTTTAGCTTGCTTGTTAATATTGTTCGCAAAACTGCAAGAGCGATTCATGTTAAGATTTATCTTGGCAAGTCGTATACCTTGTGCGTTTATGTCCAAGCGTCCGTAACAAAAATATCAACCGCGCGCTGCGAGCACAGCCAGCGCACTGTCGCCCTTGACGTCAGCTCTCTGGTCCGTGCACCCCTTTCACCCACCCGCTAACATCTTCCATTGCTCTTACCGCGCAGGCGATACGCGAGTTAAACGGTCGGCCTATAAACAACTAATTATTGACATAACATTCAGTTCATATATCCAATCCAGTGACCAAATAACTCCGCGCGCATCAAGACCGTGCTCGTGAAGAACTCAATATCATCATAACTTGTTACATACTTACAGGATACTAATGAAACTTCACATACATTTGAAGGCACTTACAAGTTTAAAATAACGTTTAAAGTAAGTCTATAGAGTTCTGTGTCTTAGAGTGTTTTTCTATTTCATGAAATAGCCTTTAAGCTAAGCTATTTTGGTTTTTTTATTGCAGAACCAAATTAAATTAATTCCTAAGAAGCCATGTACAAAATATGATAAGTATCCGCTTAACCATTTCAAAGATCTAGCAAAACCAAAAACTTTACCCCAGCAGAATATCGAATAACTTCGCAACCGATGAAAGAACAAATACAAAATAAGATAAAACATTTATCTAGACAACTAATTTTATAGCTCGTAATTATTTAAATATTCCCATTAGAAAGAAAAAGGTCTGGCTGGGGTAACGTTACCCTAGCAGGAAATGTTTTTGTGAAATAATTAAAAAACTATAAGCGCAACAAATTTAAAAATGTGCGCAACAATTACAGCAGCCGTAGAACTAATTATCTATTATTATCTATAACGCACACGTTTATACTCTTTGGTTTGGTTTTAAACAAAATCTAGTTAAAAGTTTCCCGTAAAACAATAGTCGTTCAATTACAACAATATGGGTATGCCATGCTGTGTTACGCACGTGGGACCGTGGCCACTGACCTCCGACATCTCGTGTCGCAGCAGTAGCGGTATGGCGAGGCTGGTGATGTCGTTACTGCACGCCGCCTTCAGTATGTTGCGCAGGCCCAGGATAGCAGGGTGACGGGACGTTATGTCTCCTGGCACACATTCAATTATTTACACTCTATAAGAAGACGTTTCAGAGATGATTAGGAAAAGATAAGAGAGATATGCGAATAACATAATGCTGATCTTATTACAAATGTCCTTAAAAAATATCAGGTTCTAGGTATACGAAAAAGATTAACTTGAATTTATTTCCACGGAATGTTCAAGTGAGTTCACGTTACATGACCGAGAAGTTTGATATCATCGAATCACATTAGTGTCCAGTTATGTTCAGCTGTATCTGTTGTATGTGGAAAGTTACCCGATCGGAGCGAAGAATCGTCCACCATGAGATGGAAAACGACGTGCACCTCGGCTAGGTTGCTGTGCTTCGTGATAAAGATGTCTCCAGTCTGCAGGTCTCGGCGACTGCGCCCGCGCGACCCCGCGCCCCCCGCACCGTCCGCTTGTAACCGCTGAGAGTTACGGCGCTCCACCTGACCATACATTACGCAATCATTTAAACTGCTGAATAATATTACATTAAAATTAATATAATAACAACCGCGTCACACCGGTATCATAGATAAAAACCAGCCAAACGATGTTAGTTACCGGTTCTAGCAGTCGTTCGCTGATGTCCCTGAGCTGCGCGTCCATGCCGGGGAAGTGATGCTCGGTGCTGAGGTCGGCGGCGGCCAGCAGGCGCGTGGTGGGCGGCGCGGGCCGGCGCGGCGGCGCCTCGCCCAGCACCACGCAGCCCGCCAGCTCGCCCGAGTACAGCGACAGCGCCGTCTGCAGGCGGCGGGACGACTCCGCCGGACTACCGACACATTTAACATTTATTATCACCTCACCTCGGCTTCGGCCTGTTGGTGCTGTTTTCCAGTTTGTTTGATTTGATTTTTCTTTAATGCAAATAATGAAGGAAAGAATGAATGAAAGAAGTAACATAACTTACTTGTCCACTTGTTCGACGGCGCAGAGGTCGAGCAGGTCCATGGCGACGATGCGTATGTTATGTGTCTGCTTGAGCTGGCTGCCGAGGTGGATGGTGAAGCTCTCCTCTAGCCGCGCGCCGCCCGCCGCCACTGGCGCCGGTAGAGACACGCTCTCCGGGGAGAATGTCGCCAGTGGAGAGTTACTGGAACCCAATTATACTTCACTGTTCAAGTAGTTCATAAGGTGTGCGTTGCCCAGGCCAGATGTTGTCGAAAATGGTCATTTGAATCTTATAGATAATTAGTTGTGCGGCTTCTGAAAGAAAACATTAGAAAGAAAATGGTCTGGCTGGGGTAACGTTACCCCAGCAGGAAATGTTTTTGTGAAATTATAAAAAACTATACATAAGCGCAACAAAAAAATGTGCGCAACAATTACAGAAGCCGCACAACTAATTATCTATAAGATTCAAATGACATTTTCGACGACACATAGCCTGGGTAACACACACATTCATTCTAGGGGTCAAAACTACAAAAAATTGCATGTAACTGAACCTTGGTGTGTTGAGTGCAGAGGTGCTCTGGTACTCCTGCAGCGTGTCCATGAGCCAGGCGCGGTGCTGCGCGCGCTGTGTCTGGCGCAGCGCGTCCAGCTGGGAGCCCCAGCGCCCCGCCACCAGAGCTTGCTGCTCAAACTGCTGCGCTGCTAGCTCATTGATCTCTTCCTCTGTGCTAGAGATGTTTAGCATACGGACTTTCTCCTCCATTTCTTCAGTCTGTCTGAAAAAGGAGCTAGTTTGTAAATAAATATCAGTAAAAACAACAATTACAACAATATATATTTATGTTCAGATTGATTACTTTTGAGTGAGTTTCTCAATATCTTCATCTCTGCTCTTGAGTGTGTTCATCACAGTTTTGGCATATGAGTTCTCAACTTGCAGGATAGTTTCCAAAGCAGGTGAGTGTACCAGCTTGTGGTATGCCGCTGCAAACACCTCTTCATCGGATGTGCCCTTCTGTTCTGCAAACTCCATCACATTGTCTTTAAACAACTTCTCCCAGTTCTTGATAATGCCTTCTACATTGATTTCACTGTTCTTTAGTTGGTTCAGCAGTTTCTTGTCTCTCTCATTGTGGAAGTTTTTGGTTTCTTCTGCTACAAACTGTGCTAATTTCTCATTCAGTTCTGTAAAGTAACATTTTATTTAAAACTTTTTGTTCTATACTTCTATCTGTGTCTTATTTCTTTATTGTAGGTAGGCATTGGAGCATTGGACAGGTAGAAGGTAAGTAGGAAGCTTGAGCCATCTCACGTGGGTTCTCTATTGACCTCAAAAACTTAGAATTTGTGTTTATTGTTATTATTATTATATATACATGTAAGCCATAACAGTACGATTAGACTTAGGAAGATTGCCCAAAGCAGTTATCAGCCACAACCGACTACAGAATCATAGATACAGACCTTCTTCTAAATACACGGGCACATGAAACATGTTGATAACTCGTTGCACCAGCTCCCTGGTGGAGCCGGCGTGAGGAATGTCCACTGGCACCTCCAGGTTGAAGTGGATTTCTTCGTTCGTACATGTCGGGAACGAATATTTGAATGTTTTGGTGATATTTTGAACCGTCTCTCCAGTCATGATGAAACACTAACACAAACGTATTGTAGCAGTAGTTATTTCTTCTTTTATCAAATCACTTAAGCTAAGTTAGACACATCAACAAATATACGCCTACATTATTTTACTTAGAATGTTTTTAAGTTTGTATATTCATCTATCGCATCCTGTCGTCTGGTTTCCGTCATCTGTCATCTGTCACTCAATAACAGTGACAGACAGGTGAAATTTCGTTCTGAAAAAAATAAATTTAATTTCTTTAATTTCTATTTTCTAGTATTAAAATATGAAAAATGATTTCTTTTGCAATGCTTCATATGAGTGTCTTTTAAATATTTTTTTCTATAAAATTGCGTTTATAAACACAATGTGATTAATTCACATTATACCCAGACTCGAAACCAAAATTCGTAGATCACTAAAAGAATGTTTCGTGCGAGAATTAAACCCACGCCCGCGACACGTTCTGCAGCAATCGGTCGTCTAACTATTGCGCCAACTACGCCGCCAATTGGGATATCACTTTCGTCTTTAAAATTACATCTATTACATAAGTACTGAACAACGACGGGTCTGTTCGTGTCACTTAGGTCACCATGTTCACACTGCAACTAATCCTTACTTCCATACTTATTATTATATATCGGAAAGTGAGTTTGTTTGTTTGTTCCGCCTTCACGCCGTAATTACTAGACCGATTGCTTTGAAATTTTGCAGACGTAAAGTTAGAAGTTTGGATTAAATAATAGGGTACTTTTTATCCCGGAAAAATGATATTTTCTAGGAAAAACAAAAATATTGGTATAGATGGCGCTGTATGTACTGGTATAGATGACGTTGTATGTCATTTAAAACCAGTCAACGAATTACCTACTTATTGGAAAAATGTAAATAGCGCGATATAACCGAATTCCACGCAAGCGGATATATATTTGTTTGTTTGCCTGTCTTAAACGGCAGAACGGAGGTACTACTTAATTAACGTGATTTTTTAACTGAAGGTAGTTGAACGGATGGATCGTCACATAGGCTACTTTTCATCCTTTTGTGACACGAGCGAAGCCGCGGGTAAAAGCTAGTTAGTCATATTTTTGTACGGTACACTAACAGGTTGACAACTTGAATATAGGTACAATTTTAATGTTATGCCGTGATAATCAAGTGATGTTTGCGATTTAAGTGACAAACCCCAATTTGTGTTTTCTTTTGTGTTGTGGTTATGTGGGTGTGTTTGGAAACATATAAATTCATACACCTACTCATCATACCTACTGACAGTTAGAACAACAATTAATAAATAAAACAAAGAGTGGTTCGTGCGGGAATCGAACCCGCGACACGAGTAGCCAGTTGTCCGACAGCCACAGCGCTTGCAGTGCACTAACACATTACCTATAAATATTTTTCAGTTTCCGAAATATTCAATGATAGCTCTGTCAGGCACCGGAATGTTTGCCTTGTATTGTGTAATCTATTAATTACACGACATATATATATATATACATAACATCACGCCTTATTACCTGAAGGGGTAGGCAGAGGTGCACATTACGGCACTCAATGCCACTGTACAAATTACACCCACTTTTCACTATTTATGTTATGAGTTCCATGTAATAGGGAGTGAGCCCGGTATGTATTGCTATATACCGGTTAAACTTTGATCGATTTGATAAAAATAATACTTTGTTCGACCCGGGAATCGAACCCGAGACGGCTTGCCCGGCAGTTAGTAGTTATAGACTTTCGACTATAGGTACTTGTGTCGTGGCAATGATCCATCAGTTCCATAACTGCTGTGGTCTTAGGTTACTACCCGAGGTAAGATCTGACTTCGAGGACTGTATAGTAAGCCCAGTATATGACGTGCCCTTGCGGCAGCTCTGAATAATTGTGATATTAGCTCTGGGTCTTGTCCTAGTGTATGTTGCGAGGTGCGTGCCGCGTGCTTAGTGTGGTGCAATGACAACATTTGTGTATATGTACAAGTGTGACCGTTTGGACACATGTCATTTAGTTCAGACTTAATAGATCATTTATTTGAAACAGATTATGAATACATAGTATTCTTATAAAATTATAAATATGATTCTGCAGCTGGTCGCACATAGTACGGGGACAGTACTACACAATACTTTGGTAATAGTAGAACTATATTTTCATTATATATAAATTAAAAAAATGGAAACAATAAATTAATTACATAAAGAAATTAAATAAAAAATGTTGTCGGTTCACATCGTGCTCTTTAATCCGATGAGTCAGAACCGTGCGGCGGCCGGGCGGTGTGCTGCTGTGCGCTGCGTCTCAACACCTCTTGTTTCGATGTTTCGATGGTATTTGATGGAATATTTACGCGGCCTCGCCGCCCTCCTCCTCCTCCGCGCTGGCGGTGAGCATGGAGATCAGCTTCACGGTGTCGATGAAGCCTTTGTCGTCAATGTCCATCTGGTCGTACGCTTCGTCGACTTCGTCGGCGGAGAACTTGTCGCCCCAGGTCATGAGGGCGTGCCTAAGCCTTTCGGAGTCGATCTTGCCCTCGTCGTCGAAGGTCTTGAAGGCGTTGATGACGACGTCATCCTCGTCGGAGCCGCCGGACATGCGGTTCGCGAAGAGGGTCAGGAGCTGGGTGAAGTTGATGGGGCCGGATGCCTCACCAACCATCTCGTCAAGCTCCTTCTCTGACGCCAGCCTGCCGAGCGAGTCGAAGGTGGCGCGCAAGTCGTTCTTGCCGATGATGCCATCCTTGTCGTGGTCCATTAGCTGGAAGGCCTGGAGGAGAAGGTGCTCGGTTAGAACAGGAAACACTAAATACTTTTGATTCAAGAAGGGTTTCTTCAAGTTCCTTGTGTATGACCATTACGTCATTTAGCCTAATAGTAAAACGTGCAATATTGTAAACGGATGACGATACAAACACACAACTTTGAAAATGTTCTCGTTATTAAAGACAATGAGTGCAAGAGATGACGAGCTATGTTTACACAACAGCCGGATGGGCACGAGCTAAACACAACTAGTGCAAATCTTCAGATTCTACTTAATTGACGTACTTACTATTGTTCAAATTGATAGAACGATGACTCTGATACAAATTCTTCAAAGTGACTTTTTGGTTAAGCTTTTTACTTAGCACTGATTGAATGCCTTCGTTTTGGGTTTGCAAAAATTTTTTTATGTGGAACCTTTGACTATAATCAGGGCAGCAAAGCATCTTTCTTTCAGCAAAGAACATTCTGGAGATCCTTACCTCCTTGAACTCAGCGACCTGCTTCTGTGAGAACATGGAGAAGACATTGGAGCCGGTGCGCTTGGCCTTGCGGCTGCCACGCGACGACTGCCTGTCGCTGCCACCAGTGGCGGCGGGCGCAGCTGGAGCTGGCGCCTCTTCTGCTGGTGCATCTTCCTTTGCCTTCTTCTTCTTTACCTTCTTATCTTTATCCGCCTGTTAACAATTAGCAAATGCAGTTATTAAAGACAATTCAATTTCTATTCATTTACGCATTTTAAATTGATTACTTTGTGTAGATTGTTATTTTGATTGACACACAACAGCTAGTTACGGATGCTAATTGAATAGGTTTGGAAACGATTAACCCCGCCAATCAATTTGAAGTTTACGGAAACCAACGCTGAAGCCTGAAGAGGAGTTACTTTTGAAAGTAATAAAAAGTCTCTTGAATTAATTTATTTTAATAATGAAGACTATTTTCCTTCGTTATAGTACCTAATTACCGCGTGTTGTCACCGCCTAGTTCCCGTTAAGGCGTGGCGAGATGGCGCCCCTATATTTAGCCCAGTCCGGCTTGGTTTACACCGACACGGTACGCCCGGCTCACTACCACTCGGTTACATCATGTTATTTATAGAAGGGCGCGTGCGCTCGTTTCAGTTTCAGCATAATATTAATTACTATCACATTTTGTTTGATTTGTGTGTGATGGTGTTATTATTTTATTATAATTGTCAATGTTCTAAGAGCTTAATATCGAAGTTTAAATGCAATCTTAAATCTTCTGGATTGCAGCAGAAGTTAGGCACGAAGGTACAACGCGATCTTTTAGAATTCCGTTCTGGCATCCAATTAGTTATTAAGTAGACACTCGGCGCCTAGTATTGACATCGTATAACGGCGATGGAGTCACCAGCACTAAGTATTGTCCACTGTTACGTATGTCCCGGCATCATTACTCGCTGCGTGAACTTCTACCCGGCGGTACGCGGCGTGCTCTCCGAAGTGTTCCTCACTTGCATCACAATTCACTTTACAATCACTGGAGTGTTCACTGAGGTGTCACTGTGTCTAACACTTACCATTGTGATGTGTGTTGGACGATCGACGAAGGAGAGACTGTTCCGCTCGGCAGTCCCACCCTGACTCCGAGTTTTCGTTCCCTCTCGGAGATCCAGGAGGATCCCCCCTCCGTTTCTCCCCTCCCGGCGGTCGCTGTGCTCGCCATTCCTTTTTTAGTTCGACAAATACGATAGTCTTCGAATCGGCATCAGAACGGTTTGGGCGGCTCGCCGGCTCAGCCGTGGCAACGTTTTTGTTTAGATTTATAAATACATCAGCTCACCTGTAGTGGGGCAGTTTCCTGGGTACAACGTACGGCGCTCGATTCTTTACAAATATAACTTTATTGAATGGAACTTTACCACGCTCATATCGGCTCCACTTTGAACATTCCTGGGTCTTCTGAGTGCGTCTGCTGATGCGCGAGCATCCACCAGATCCATGTGATGAGTCCGTAGAACCACGTTGTTTAAATTATTATCTGTGTTACGAGATGATCATATTGATTAACAGAGCAAGTGACTTCAGATAGTAGTTATCAATGGTGACAAGTAATTCTGAAGTCACATGCGACTCGGAGTAACTTAAGTGCAGCGGTAGTTCCACAAGCTGCAGCCTATGGAAGGCCATGAATAATTTCTCGTTTTCAATGTTTAACTAATCACAATGTACAAAGGTTTTGTTCGAGATTAAGCTTTCAATTCTATCAGCTGCCCGATTATCATAG